TTTTTTTTTTTTTTTTTTTTTTTCTTTTTTCTTTTAAATCCTATTCTCATTTGTTCTCAAGACATTTCAGGCTTCCTTGTAACTAAACATGCAAACTGTATGTACTTATTTATATTAATTTATAATTACTTGAGGTTCAGGATTCAGAAAGGAGGTTCTGTACCTCAAACCGAAGACTGTATCAGATTTTAAAAAACAAAACAAAGTCATTGAATGAAATGGAGTCACTGAGAGGCTTAAGTCGGAAAGGACTTTAAAGTCCATCCAGTTCCAAGCCCTAACAAGGGCAGGGCTGCCACCCACTTCATCAGGTTGCCCAGGGCCCCAGTCAGCCTGGCTCCAAACGCCTCCAAGGACGCGGCACCCACAAAACGCCTGTCCTTCATTCAACACATATCACATGTCCTTTGATGAAGCTATTATTTTTTTAAGCACCAAGCATGCTGACAGGACTTCTACGAAAACAGATCAATTTGAAAGGAAGCAATAATTTGAAGTAAAAGACACTTCTTCAAAGAAAGATATAGTCACTGACCTTTGCAATAGCAACTGCTTGTTGAGGATAATACATGGAAGCACCAATACTCATGAAACCTGCAGGATACACCAACTTCTTTATTTTTGATCCTGTTTCACAATGAAAAATACATTGTTAGAATATATGTTAGCAGACAACTGAATGGCCCTACTCAACTATTACTTATAAATAACATAATTCTGTTATATAGAGTTTAGCACATCTTCTGTTCAGTCTGACTGATTTTTAAAAAACTATTACTGGAACACAGACATCTTTCCATGGTGAAAATTACCTTAATTAACTTACTAATACCAGAGAAATTTGGGAACTAACTAATGAAGCACAAACCACAGTTAAGAGAATTTTATCAACTGATATTCTTTTCTAAACAAAGAAGAAAAGCTCAGGCAAAGAAAGTTTAGGTCAGCATTCTCACAATATATCGCACAGAACAAGTAAAGCTCTACTATGAAGTTTGTAAGTTACCTTGATTCAGAAGTACTTATATGTCCGTAGCTGTTCTTATGACTAAATTGTCTTTCTAAACTGTTTCATTACAGCAGTTCACAAAAAAATTGAAGTATTTTTTAAAACAAAAACTAACAAGTAAGCTGTATGCCTACAGCTCAATCACCAGGCAAATTCTGAACATTTTAATCAGGGCACAATGCGGTTTAACAAGGAATGGAGATGGGAGCAGGTATGGGTACAAAGCAAGTAGTAAAGCAGAAAAAAGAGGAATTGGGGGTCACAAATGAGACACGCTGGTGTCAGGATTCAGTAATTCTGTTCCTCATAGAACAGTTTTTTCTATGTGCAAAGTCATATATACGTCTAGCAACAGTTAATGTTTTTAGTTATAACTATCATAGAATGGCTTGGGTTGGAAGGGACCTCAAGGATCATCAAGCTCCAACTAGATATTTGTACTACATGGGATTTTTAGCTTTTATTAAAACTTAGGACCTTATTTTTCAGATTCAGTCTCAATACTTTTTCCCCTCCACCCCCCACAATCTTCATGTTTTTCATAATTCTGCTAGAGACAACTGGAAACTGATATCATTCATAATTGCGTAACTCAAGAAGCAGGAGTTTGAAGAGAAATGTCAAATGGATTAAGACAGAGATCTTGATTGTCATGAAAATGCCCACACCAGAAAAGAAAGCATTATTACATCTTATGAGGAGTACAAATATGAATATATATATTGATAGAATGATTTCCATTTCTGAATAGCCAAGCATATGCTTTATTTCTTCAACAGTTATGTCTTATGTGTACTTTTATCCAAAGGGAGTCCTCCCTAGTGTTTCAGTTCTGCAACTTTGTAGTTCCAGTACCAAAAAGTATTCATCTTGTTTTACTTCATTCCACTACAGTACAATATTCCACTACAAATACAAAATATTTGTTCATGATTAACAGTTCTTAACATTTGTAACATTTATGTTTATTTCTGTGAAAGTATAATAGATTCGTTTCTTCAACTAGTGCAATGAAACTAACTGTAGTTCTCTACAGTAATTTACGTATGTGATCAAGAACTAAAAAAGATTTTTTGGCTAAGAAAAAAAAATAAATTCCTTTCCTACTTTTGTTATATTAAACTAGAATTGAAGTGGATCAAAGGCCAGAGTCCAATAACAGATACAATACTCATAAACATTAATTAATGGTTATGTACACTTTTTACAAGAAGGTTCTGTATAATTTGAAGAATACTGTAGAAACATGCTTGCACGATTAAGTCAGATCTCACGTGTCACAGTTAAAAATCAGTAACAAGAAAGAATCCCACAGATAAACGTGTTATTCAAAATTTTATCATAAGCAGTTCAAAAGGTTCCCACTAACCTCTGGCAAGAAACAATCCAAGAATTCCAGCAAAACCTATCACACCGAGCCTAGGATAAAATCCAGCAGGGGGGGTTTGCAGAAATTCAAAGCCCTCTGAAAAGAAGTCAGAGCACAGTGCATTAATGTAATGTGAAAGTGTTTTTGTGATAAGAAATCATCAATATATGCTGGCGATTGTTACAAAACAGAGTTATCAAAACACATTTAACTATCACGCACATTTTAGATCTGCTGGCATAAAATTCAAAAGCCTTTGAGATCTTCTCTAGTGACACATGAATGGAACTGAATATTGTATTGTATTTACCAGTTTTTGTAGAAGACTTTGCCTTTGCTACCAGGCCGCCTGCTTTGCTCTGCTCTTTTGCATGTTGATTATAACCTTTTCAAATTAATGTTTAAAATCCTTTACAAAATAGATAAGTGCATTTACATGACGACAAGTATTAGTTTCAGTGAAACACTGTACATAAAACAAATCACAGATCAAAAGAAGAACACAGCAAAAACAAAGCTCACTCCAGGGTGGGAGTCTGATGAAGATGAAACACCTGCCATAAAAGAGATCACGAGACTGTTGAATTCAGGAAGGAAGAGGTGCAGTATCTGAAAGGAGTCCCAGATAGCATCCATGCTCAGTCTCAACGAGACTAGATATGATGCTTCCAAAACATTCAGAAATGAATAAGTTACTTTGAATTAATTCAAAATTCTTAGGAGATTCAAGGAAATAAAGCAGTACAAGGTAAATTTCAGTTACTGGGCTGAGTCAAGCAAATATTAATATAATTACGCCTGGTTTAGGCTGGGAATACTTTGTCAGTCTTTTCTTCCTTATGTGCCATTCTTAATAATATTGGTTATGAGAGATGCAGGTATCAGACTTCAGCTGTTTAGAAAAGGAAATTTAAATTGATACACTGTGCACAGAAAAGTAGTCTCAAATGGATTAAGAAAATCATATACTGTGACTCCTAGTGAAATTCCCTTCTGATAACAGATACACTACAGTCCTACATTTTAAAGTGCTAGTCAAGAAAACTAAACTGATTTACCTCTACCATGCTCAACAGCTTTCTCTAATTTGGGCATAGCTTTGGCATAAAGATCCTAGAAAAAGAAAAGAAAAGAAAAGAATGGTAAACAGATACCGATCAGATGAAACACTAACCATAGATTTTCACTGAAAAAAAAAAAAAAAAAAAAAAAAAAAAAAAAAAGAACGAAAAACTGTTGGATCCCTAATGGAGCCTCCTGATTAAAACAACTATAATGCCTTTGTAGTTTTGGACCTGTAAAACCTACCTGTAGATCTTTTCATTTAATAAAAAATAGAAATAGAGGAAAAAAAACATGCATTGCTTTGTACTAATATACAAAACCAGCAAAGAAACCGAGGAAAAACAAAACAATTTCACAGTTTCAATTTTACCCATCTTAAGAAAGCTACTTGTTTTTATTCCCACTTCCCCATTCACTTATTGCGGAGTTACGCTAGCATACATATTTTTTTTCTCCAAGTGGTCTTTGGATGGAGATAAAACACAGTACCTCAAAACACAGGAGTCTTCTTCAATATTTCACTGATTTCCTGACCACATATCCAAATTATTTGCAGAGAGAATTTCAGGTTTCTCAGTCTATTCAGTCATTGTGAAAGTACTTGAGTAAATGCAAAGGAGGCAAGTACAGCACTGCAACAAACTCTTTCCTAGTGCTTTACAGGGGGAGACATAGCTTATTTTGCAAGGTGATACATTACTCTTTTTAAGAAACTGTATCTAACAAAAACCAATTTTCGAGGTGACTTGGAGAAACAAGATGTTGGTACACTGTCCTAAGTAGATTGAAGGGCACCTTATCAAAGCAAGGTTTTACTTGGACTGAAAATATACAAGACATAACAGACATGCAGATAGATACATATATATACATGCAGAGTTCACATCATGTTTTATCACATTAAAAAAAAGACTGAGTAAGAATAGCCTTGCTCATTGCTATTAAGTGAAAAACCTGTAACAAGTTAGACAGTATAAGACTATTCATTAATTAAGGAACAGGTTCATTAACATGTATGCCCAAAGCTAAAGAAAAGAATGGTCTTGCAACACCACTTGAGCTCTATCTGTGGAACAGCATTTGTTTGGGATACTGCACATGGATATCACCTTTAGAACTTCCATTTCCTCACTGTCAACAGTGACCTAACAAAAACTTGTGGCAAAAAAAAAAAAAAAAGTATAAGCATGTGACACACAACAAACTTAAATGGGTGTTGTTATTACAAGCCAGTGAAGGAAACAACAAACAAATAAACAGTGTTCTAAGGACCACGTAGGCTAAGTAACTGTGATCTATCACAGCTCACACAAACCAGTTTTGAATTGTTTCCCATAGGGTTAAGTAATTTTAGAAAAGTAAAATTCTGAATATAGTCAATTTCCTCAATACTGTGGGTTGTGTTTTTAAAGACAATTGTGAGACAACTAAAAGATGATTTTCTTTTTTCTTTAGCATGTCTGGGGTAAGAATCCAAATTATCTCTGACTACGGTTAAGCAAGCAAGATGATCCCAGGCCCATACAGGCTACATGTTCTCTTCATAGAATGAGTCAGTAAACCACTGCCAGGAAATGGCTTGTTGGATGTAAACAGAACAGCACGTTTCATGTACATGACCACCATCCAGCCAAAAAAAAAAAAAAAAAAAAAAAAGGCAAATGAGAAGACAGCAGGCCAGTGAGACACAAAGCAGTGTTTACAGCATTACTGTTTACAGCAGTAATCACTCCAATCAGCCAACACAATTTATCTCAAATTTCACCTCAGAATTACCATAGGTAAAGAGGGAATTAGAGGCCAGAACTCTAACTAAATTAGAGAACTCTAAACAGAAAGTCACCCATTGTCTTCAAAACTGAAGCTAGTATGTCTGCTTGATGATGGCACTTTAGAAACACATCACTAGTCTGAAAAACTCTGAACATTTCTGCAAAATGTTCTGGTACCATTAATGGTCAGTACCACAACAGAGAACATGCAGACAGGAAGGACACCCTGATCTGAACATTTTGGCTGTTTATGCAGAACAAGAGAAACAGTTTGCAGCTTAACCAGAGGGTTCACAGCTGTCAGTTTGTAAAGCAAAGAAACATGTACAGCTGCCAAGAGGCAACCAGATGACAAGGATGCCCTTGCTTCAAAAGTCAGCTTCAACACTCCCTGGGCCATCATACAGCTCAGTACTCTAATATCAATAACTTAAACCTTCATTACAAAGACCTTTGCTATCGTCTTTGCTCCAATGACTACTCCTGTACTGCATGACTGTTTATTATAAACATGATGCCTAAGCAAAATATAAACGCAAGTTTCAGAGTAAGGCCCAGAGGTCAGGTTTGCTGCTGAGTAGCAGCTAGGGGATTTTTGCTCTTCTGGAGAGCCAAGTTCCTGCTCTCAACATTCCCATTCAGTAAACACTGATTTTTAAAACTTTTTTTTTTTGTTGTTTTTGTTTTTGTTTTGACAGAGTTGTAGTGTGTCATATTTGCAAGGAGGGCAATTCCGTACAGCTGCCTGCAAAACACACTGCTTGACCATGCAAAATGCCAATTTATCATTCTGCTGTCCTCTTGAATCACAGGACAGTACCAAATCCAGATATACCACAACTTGTGATACCTCAAACTTTCAAACTTCTATATAGGAGAATGGGCATCTAATTAATTGTACTAAGCAAAATGTTCAGGCTTTATTAGCAAGTCTAAAGGCGTGCTATAAAAGAGCAAACATGACTTTACATTATTAATGTACTTGAACAGATTTTTAGTCAAAAAGATTAGTTTCCAGCATCTAGTGCTATCACTAAAGTGAGGGCACCTCAAAAGCCTTTTTTAATGCTTTCTGCACAGCAAGTTTCCTTTAGAGGTAATGCTACCCTGAAATAAATAAATAGATAAATCATTTTACAAATATTAGAAAGCAAACTTAAAACAAACAAACAAACAAACAACTCCAAAACAGCAAGTTTTCCTGCTGTAAATAAAACTTAGGAGGTTTGTTCATGCAGACATCAGCACTTTCAACAATAACAATTGATTCTCAGTTTATGAAGTTGATCATCAACCTCTCAAGTAACTTTGTTCCCTGATAACTACTTCATGAAAATTAACTGCGCAAAGAATTTACAGACAGTAATTCTAAGCTTCAGCTAGTAACTTTTTTTTAAACAGAAATTGTGGAAATAGAAGGGAATTAATTAACAGAAAGAAAAAATAGCTTGAGTGATAAGGGGTAAACACAGCTAGCTTGTGGAAAATATTAGGAGATGCAGCATTTTGAAAAAAAAATACTTGCATAGCTGTTATTTTCTTCCTAAAAATCCTTTGCTGCTATCTATTAATTCTGTGCCTAAAACCAGAACCCAACCTCCACCCTTACCACCAAAGCACTACCAGACACAACACAAGACCATGATACCTGGCACCAGGCTGTGTATGGCTCCATAGCATGCCGTAGCTGTGAAACCCCCTCCTCCAATTGGGTTTGTGGATTCTCCACATATTTAGTCTCACGAGCTGGAGAGGAGTAGAGTGACAGCTGTGAATATTAGCAAACAAGAGGTTAAAAACAAAGGTGTAACTGTAAGTAAGTTCTCAGGGTACAGTCTAACCAGAGGACATCTAACGTGGTGGTTACTATATGAACAATGCACAATAAAAATTCAGGTACAGCTTTGAGACAACCATTATGAACTAAGTTTAATTATACACTGTGATGAAGATGACTGCTAATTGCTGTGCATTCATCTGTAATTCATCCATAGTTGCTATATGATTCCAGTCACAGGTTATAGATTAATATTAAACTAGTTAATAAGAATACAAAACATAATAGTGAAAAATGTTTCTAGTCTTAATCAGCACTGCTGGTTCCCAGTTAATACACTCTGAAATCACAGTTGATCATTTTCTGTATTTGCACAAGCCATCATTAAAGAGTTTTAGTTGTTTCTAACACAGGTAACATCCAACACAAATTTGGCTATTACTGAGCAGGAAAATGGTGCTACATCCCAGTGTTGCTGTCATTAATCACATCAGCAACCGTCAGAATTAATAGCACCACGCGCCTGAGCAAATAGAAATCTGAAGAGCAGTGAGCATCCTCACATGGTAGATAGAAAAACACAGTGTTCAGAGTTTTGCATCACAGTGTATTTATTACAGTCACCTAAACACATTTGAGACTGTGGCACTCAGTTCAAAGATTGAAGCCTATTCTGCCCAGCAGTAAAGTTCAGATCAAAATAAAAACTGTTCCTAGTGGTTTCTACACTGCACAAATGTTCACAGTGAGATATTTTTATTTTATACCACATTTGCTTTGGTAGTTTATTCTCAGCTAACATTAAGAAGCATAGCTAGCATCATTTCAAGTTGGAAAACAATGCTATCTCTTACATAAAAAAAAATCTGCTAATGTTAGTTAAGATACAATCTGACAACTTGTGCAATTGGATTTCCCATAATATTTTAAAAGACAAACATCTCAAGTTTCACTTCCTCAGGAAATGCGGTCATCTCTTGCTATACTCAAAACCATTGTAACTTTGACCCCAACAGAAACCCCAATGGACGTGCCTGACAACAGAACAGAAGTCCCAGGGAGGAGAATGAAATTCCCACGCATTTTATGAAACCGGACGGCTGCCTGGTTTGAAATGAACATAGGCTGTGAATGCTCAGGACAGCAGCCAGAAACCCAGTGCTGCACATTCTGCTCTGCTGCTGGTTGGCAAGCCAATGACTCAGCACACACGTCACGTCAGCCTGCTGCCTCATTACTGAGTCACACCAGTGGTGGCACGGGGCACGCCAGAGGTCCAGGTTACCATCACCAAGGTGAAGTCAGGAGGCCGCTTCAACCGCTCCTCTCAGACTGGCTGCCCATGGGAGCTGCTGTTGCAGACACACACAGATGACCCACGTACACACAGATAGGTTACGTTTTGTTTTCCTGCTCGCAGAACACTTGAGCTTGGGCTGAAGTACTTCATATTTTAAGGCAGCCATAAAGCTGTATTTAGTTACAAAATACAAAAATACACCTTTCCACTGTTGGAGGCTGTTCCAAACCTATGCAATGATGCCACTGAGTAATTACACAACTGCTTAACAGTGTGTTCTAGATCTCTCCTTACGAAACAGCCAAAACCTCTGTACCACCTTAGAGAAGAAATAAAGCAGCAGGTAGTTATTATCATTACTTCTCATATTAGTTGTTAGTTACGCCTGAATGCTGCGAGGCAGGGAAAACTGGTATAATTCTGGGCAGAGGCAATCTAGCCTGTAGGCTACAATGTTCAGGACTGAACTTCACCACGAAAAAATTTTGTCTGAAAAAAAAAAAAAGAAAATAAATTACTGTGTTTTTAAAAATAAAACCTTTTGATTTTGCCGTTTTATTGGAAAACACAAATGAAATTTTATTACGGTTTTCCAACACTGTTTATTCATAATTAAAAATATATGGTGTTACTTAGATTAAAAACAGTCCTGTGGATTTTAAACATGACCACACTAGGTCTACAAATGGGAAAAGTAATTTCTCAATGAAGAAGAGAAGGCTTCAACACAAAAAAGACTTGCATACAGACAAGTCTATGCTGTCAAGCAGAGAGCAGCAGATGCAGCCCTGGGTAAGAGAAGCATAGTCACATCAATGCCTCTAATGCTGAAAACTGAGAAGCAAGTTTAAAGGTAGGAATACAAAGTGTAAAGAGAAGTACCTAAATGAGTTTTATACATCAAAGCATAGCACCTTTCAGAATACTGCAGGTATTTTTGCATAGATGTAATGCTAGCTGCTCTAACCATACTTACCTCATCAATTTTCAGCAACTCTTTTTTGGATGTTCCCTTCTCTGAAGAGGAAGCATAAACCTGGATAGAAAGCAAGCTCAGGCTTACTGGGGTGGCCCCCAGCCGAATTACCTATAAACATTAGGGGAAGACAAACATATCTGTAAGTTCAAACAGAATGCAAACATGTTTGAACACCCACCCATGTAGGTTATATACATGGCCCAGTAGATGATAAACAACAAATTAACATGGAAGTCAGAGGAGAGGGGGAAGTCAGCAGTGCAGCACCTAATGCTGTCAGGCACCTATATGAGAACATCTTGAATATTAGGATGGTATTTAGAAAAGCCTAACACTAAAGGAGACAGTAGCTATAAAAGCTTTCATCTCACAAAAGGTCTTCCATTTTCTCCCACATTTGTCAACCTTGCCAGTATAAATTCTAAGAATATGATATTCATATTTTAGCTTTATGAGTGTCCATAGCACCATTATTTTTTATTTTGCAGTCAGTACTAAAGAATACAGCCTTTTCTTTCTAGTTGTTGAAGGCATCAGATCAATCACCAATTTCTAACAATTTTAGGAATGACAGAATGCCTCGGACTGGAAGGAATCTCAAAGCCCACCCAGCCCCAACCCCTGCCATGAGCAGGGCTGCCCCCCACCAGCTCAGGCTGCCCCGGTCCTCATCCAACCTGGCCTTGAGCGCCTCCCTCCAGGGATGGGGCACCACAGCTTCTCTGGTGAAGCACAGGTTGCCCCACAGAAGTGGTGAATGCCCCATATCCCTGGAGACACTCAAGGTCAGGCTGGATTGGGCTCTGAGCACTTTGATCTAGCTTTTGATGTCCCTGTTCATTGCAGTGGAGTTGGACTAGATGACCTTTAAGGGTCCCTTCCAACTCAAATGATTCTTTGATTCCCAGAGAAAATTTCCCCCAACATTTAACCTAAATCTCCCCTCGTTTAGCTTAAAACCATACCTCCTTGTCCTATCACTATCTAGGCCACAGTGAGGTCTCCCTCGAGCCTTCTCTCCAGCTCTCTCAGCCTGCCTTTGTAGGAGAGATGTGACCGAGTTTAAATACCTCAGATTCAAGCCTCACAACACAACCATCTCAATGAAGGTGAATGTAATTCTTCTTATATTCTTGACCTACACCATTTCTTTACAGAAGAGAGCACTTTAACAAAAAAAAAAAAAAAAAAAAAAAAGTATTGGCTGTGTAATGAAGCAAGCATGTGCATTTTCCAGCAAACACATCTCCTTATTAACAACAATGCTTTACTCAATAAATGCAGTTCAACAGGAAACCTTTCAGTGTCTCATGCTCTCATTCCTGCTCGATAGGCCTGTGCTTTGGTTGTGCAGCAGTTACAGCCAGGCCTAGCTCTGCCCACAGCACCCATTCCCAGCAGTCTTGCTTTGATGGCAGACACCTCCTATCATGAGGCAACCAACCCGGCCCATTTAGCCACAGGTCAGTCCTGCACGGGTGGAAAGCTTCATGCGGGGTCACCAAGTTGAGGCTACTCATGAACATATTTGTGCTGACAAGCACCAGAGGGCCGTGCAGTCTGAGAAGGGAGGGTGAAGAAGGAGAGGGCAGCACAAGAACCAGGTCATAGGATCGCTTTTCAGAAAAAAACATGAGGGATCTGATGGATCAAAAGGTATGGAAAAACTTACTTAAAAGTGAAGTTTTTCTGTATTTGTATTTACAGACACGTTATTACAGCACTATAATGGAACACCACAAAGACTGGGTCAGCTCTGTTCAGAGCCAAGGAAAGACGGGAGCAATCTGCAGCATTGATGCTTAGAGACTTTTCATGTACTCCCATTAGCCAAGATGCACAAACACCACTAACCATTCATAATTGCAGAATATATTTCCTCATTCTCGCCTTTTTTCACTGCAAAGCTGTTCTCTCACTGAAAAGGCAAAGATTTAAGATGCATTTTCATTCAGAGAAATACGCTTTCAGTAAAATATCACTTCCTGTGATTTTTCAAATGCTTAAGAATAAAACACATGGCTAGAAAAGATATCAAGACACCCATCCACTTTTACCAAAGTAATTTCAAACTAAAAGACAACTTCAAGGAAAGGCATAGAGACAAGTATCTAAAGTTTAATTCCCAAATATGGCAAAAGTTTGTTATATGAAATAAACACGTGCACATTTTTCACGTAATGTTTCCACAAGTGTTTACTGTATAAAGTAACAACGAAACCGAGCAACATCACAGAATAATACCAAAATTAATAGCATAATTTGTTTCATTATGATAAACAAATCCAGACTGCTGCATTACACAGTAGGCAAGGTTCTCCTGCTTCAAATACTACTTATGTTCTAGACGTCACCAGCAGAAGTAACAAGTCCAAAATGCTTCAGTGCACTTCAGTTTTCCATACAAGTCTGATGCAAGCCGTGGAGCATAAGGATGGAACAATCCTGGTTTCCTCAAAGAGACCAAACCGACCACACAGCTACTCAAACAGAAAACAACTGCTGCTCATAATCATAAGATAGAAGTGCTGGAAGTCTTTGACGGTTTCATATTTACATGTTAACATTAGAAGTCTGAGATCAAACTCTCCTTAATGCACTGTCTAAGCTACACAGCAATGGCCTTCCATACTGACTATGTTCCCAGGATAGACATAACCAGTAATCAAGTACCATATATACATACAAGCACAATAAATCTCGTATTCACCATTGTGAGAGATGAGTAGTTCTGCCTCAAGCTTCCAAAGCCTACATTTGGACTTCACATCTTAGCTCCATATTAACCATGTATTATCAAACCAACTGGATTAGTATCACATTTTTGGAGAGCTGCGCCCTCAGTTTGCCTGTCTTACAGCTGTTCAGTTGATACCAAAAAAGTACAATAGGCTCTGTCTGGGTGCTCTGCAGGGCTCTGCATTTACTTTAATGAAAAAAAAAACCATGTTTCTGACTGAAGAAATAAACATTATCTGAAGACACCAGAACACGCCTAAGTAAATTATATCTAAAAATCCAAGTGGAAAATGCAATCGCATTTCAAAGAAACAGGATATCTCAAGGTGGAAGGGACCCACAGTGATCATAGAAACACAGAACAGCTTAGGTTGGAAGGGACCCCAAGGATCATGCATCTCCAACCCCCCTGCCACATGCAGGGCCACCAACCTCCACATTCAGTACTAAACCAGGGTGCCCAGGGCCCCGTCCAATCTGGTCTTGAACATCTCCAGGGACAGGGCAGCCTCCTGGCTCCATACTGCCCTCCTCCGAGTTCTTAACCACAAAACGCCAATAGGAGGAATAAATCGCATATTAGTTCTCAAAACAAGTGATGGAAGATGAGCTAAAAGATTAAAGAGAAGTCGTGCCATATTTTTCCTCACATCTATAGCTTTGCATTTTACTTGTCATCATTATTATCAACTTGTCAAAGCCGGGGAAGAATATAACAGAACGATTCCTCCACTATACCTTCTGGGAAGGCTGATATTTGCCCTACCATATGAAGTTACTACACAGAATCGCGGAATCTCAGAATCCTTAGGACTGGAAACGACAAACGCATCTAGTCCAACCTGCCCGCACCCCGCCCACTAACTACGTCCCTTACTGCCACATCTACACGGTTCTCGGCCACTACCACCACCACCACAGACAGCGACATCGCCGCTCCGGGCAGCCTGCCCCAAAGCAGCAGAGCAGTAGCAGGGACAGCAGTCATAAATAACGTGTGCACACCCGTTATCAGCCCGCAGCGCCGAGCTCCGCACCCGCCCCGGTGCTCGGCACCGCTCCAAGGGCGCCCCCTGCCGGTCTCACCGCGCTGCGCCGCCCGCCTCGAGGATTCCCACGCCTCCCGCCCGTCCACAGCCACGCCAGCTCCTCGACACTACGAGGTTCCCTTTGGGGCTGGGGCGGCCGCAGGGAGGGCTGGCAGGAAATGCGGGGCCGAGCCGAGGAGAGAGGCTGAGTGGGGATGGGCAGCCGCGGGCGGACCGCGCTAAGCAGTGACGGCCACCAACAGCTCCCTCACCTTGAGCATGGTGCCGCCCGGCTACTGCTGCCCCCGCCAGTCGCAGTTATGACGTAAAACAGCGCGTCGTCGCGTTGTGATGACGTCGATCAGCGCGCCGCTACAGCCACCAGTGAGCGACCGTTGGGGGCTTACGTCACTGCCTGCGCACGGCTCTGTCCCAAAGCGCATGCGCAGATCCGCAGCCAGCACATCATGGGCAGGGCAGCCGGTAGCGCCTGCGCAGCGGCTGGAAGGAGGAAGACGGGAGTGGCTGAGAAATGGCGCCTTGAATGGTTGTTGCCACTGCGTGCCTCAAAGACAGTCATCCAGACTTATTCAGCCCATTACGCCTACACTGCTTGGTTTCTCATTCAGCTGTAACTGGAATAATAAATACTAAATTCCTTTCAACTAAGATAAACCAAAACAATGCTACGGTCTGATTTAAATAATGGGAAATCTCTTCCCATGTTATCAGTTCATGAGCTGTGTTCTTTGCTTCTAAAGATTTGCTGGTCAGGAGTTTCCACTTTCTACCACTTTTAAGATTTCTCACACCGCTCAAGGCCAAGGCAGCAATAGTGGACAAAGAAAAATGAGTCAATCAAATGAGATGATTTAGTTCATGTGTCACCATTTTCTGATCAGTTACTAGGATCTCAGTACTCGTTATTTTTAACACTTTGGGAGATACTTATTCTCCTGCTTAATCGTGCTCACATAGTAACACAATCAAATGCAAAAAAAGCTTCATGCTTTCACAGAATACTGTTAATTTTTAGCTAGCAATGGAAAACCCTCTTTAATACAGAAAGGTGTTTTAGAGCATTTGTCTGTATTCTTTGTCATGTACAGAATAATTGCCATGTACAGCAAATGCAAGTGCAAACAGCTGTGCCATACATTTACTATTGCAGTTCTGTTGTGAAGCCGTGCTGCCACGACTTGGTATGAAGGGAAGACTGGCTGCTTAACTTCTAAGATCCGAGTGGAACCTTTGCTGCCCAGGCATGGTGTGAACGTGAGCACCACCAGAGGGTGTTATGAGAACCTGTGTTCTGCTTTGAAATGAGCTCTATGATCTATCCAGCCCTTTTTCCTGGGACTGGGGAGAAGCCAACGTGAGGTGGGGATTGGCCTCTTCTCCAGGTAACTACTGATAGAATTAGAGGTAACGGGTTTAAGTTATGCCAGGAGAGTTGCAGCTTGGAGATTAGGAAACAGAAAGAGTGGTGAAGCATTGGATTAGGCTGCCCAGTGAGGTGGTGGAGTCCCTGGAGGTGTTCAAGAAACGTGTAGATGTGGCACTGAGGGACAGGTTTAATAGGCACGGTGGGGATGTGTCGAGAACTGGACTAGGTGATCTTAGAGGTCTTTTCCAACTGTATTGACTCTATGATTCTACACTTCTAATTTAGACACACTAATAAGAAATTGGAGAAGATAATACTGATAAATAATATTCATTATTTTTTTCAAGTCCAAAAATTACAGTAATTTAAAATATTTAGTATTGCTTTTAGAACATGAAGATAATCAGTCCTGCAGAAAATATAAAAAAGAATTAATACCTAGAAGATAAAGCACCCAAAGAATACAGTAGTAAATGTTAATCAGGAAGCATTTTATGGAAAGACAGATGAGCCATGTACCTCTCACAGTCGTAAATATTCTTTGTGATTACGGTTTTCTTTGTTCCCTCCTAGAGAAGGTTCCTGTATTTGTTTATTGCAGTCTATTTATAGACTTAATGGAACCAGGTGAAGCAAGAATAAATATTTTCCTGATGAATGGGGATGTTTAAACCTCATATAATACAACCGGACAACGCTTCTCAATGTGCTGATTGTAAAAATAGCACAATCCTCATTTGCTGATAGATTCAACTGTTGTCAGGAGCCATTGTCAGAGGTGAAGGAAGAAGACTGCAGGTTGTATCTGCCTTTTTTTTTTAAAGCTTTGTCATATTTTTCTGTTGTATTTTACAGTCAGTGGGGGATGGTTACAAGTTAATGAGATATTGGAAGTATTTCAAACAAGTGGTACGAGTTTCAGTATCAAAACTAATAACAGGTATTGATTACAGGTAACAGGTATTGCTGCAGTGAAAGATGACATGCATGTAAGAAATGTTTTGACATCTACATTACAGGTTTGGTTATAAACATTCCCTCTTTAACAAGACTTGTATCTAAAATGCTAGTTGATGTTTAGTTGCATCTAAATGACCTCTGATTAAAGAATACTAATGGGCCTCTTTCACCATTGAATTGTACTTGTGCAGTCAGCTATACATGTGGGAAACAAGCCATCAGAGTATGGCAAACATTTCTGGAAAAGTGGTTTCCAGTATTCTTCGGCAGGTTTGTGAGCGTGCAGAGTGAATGGGCAGTTTGCAAATCAGGCACATTTTTTTTAATGTATTTTATTCATCAGCTGTATATATGTTACAAATACATATTTTTGTGATTGACTTATATGCAGTGACTACACAGCAATTATTGATAGATACATAAATACATAAAGAACAAAGAGTTGTTTTACAAAAACTTATGATGCACATGATTTTATCAGCTCTAGTATTGAATGCACTTTTTGTTTCACGTGGAAGTTTATCTATTAAGTGACTGATATGACTGATTGACAAGAATGGGAAAACCTTTATAGAGAAGACCAATAAAAATGCATTTGTTTTCATGTATGTATACTGTTCTTTGCATTATATCAGTAATCTGGATGAAAGCCCTGTATATTTTCATGGCAGAAATAACTGCCAGAGAAGGGTGCCTGCAAAATTTCTCCAGGACAGTGATAACATGTGACATAATGGATTGTGCACAGTCCAAACCACTGTCAGACAGGCTTCCAAAGAAACTGAAGTTTCTGCAGCAGAGGCTACAGAATAAAGGTCTTTGACTCGATCAGCTCACGGCTGTTTCTAGTGTTAGGTAAGAACCTATACCAAGCTAGAGTTTAATTTCACATTTCACATTTCACCTTTCCCTGTCCTTGGTAAATAGCTTTTCTAAATACTTGTGAAATAAATGTTTTGTTTAGAAAGCTACAGCTCAGAGAATACTGGAGATGTTGATACAGCTCATAAACTGTGCCAGTCCAGGCAGAAATATAATTTAAGAAACTCATCTTTTACCTTCCAGTCTGATCCTTTTTAATGCCATATTAGATTGTTATTTACAGCTGTTTTTTTTTTCAGTAAGATAGGAGCAATTCTTTACCAGCAGCACAACAGGTATTTATTTGGCACGCATTAAGAGGTATGGTAGAAAAAAATGGATTTGTTGCACATTCTTGTTAAAATCTGAGCTTGTAACATCTACTTATTAAATATCAGTGCAATTAGCTAGTGACACTGATCAATGGAAAACATTACGAACTGAAAAGCTAGCTTATTTTGGTGTTCTCCTACATGATAAATCTTGCAAATTTTTTATAACAAATTTTTCCATGCACCTTTTCTTCTCTAAAATGAAATTTGTAATGCCATGGCTTGTCACTACTGTTTTGCCTGCCTGTTTAAAACTAACTCCTAAAATCTTTGTAAAGCACTCTGCTTTTCTGCCTCCTACCGCACTTTTATATGTTTTAACTTAAAGGAATACTGTTCGGCACATCTCTTTTCCTTCAAAGTTACTTTCAAAGTATGTTGTTAAATATACAACTGTAAGGGCTCCTGAACTGAAAGTGGCTGTATGTTTTGGTGGGCTTTCTAAATATTCTGCACAAAACACAGATGTGACACATCAAGTATACAGCTTTGCCACACAGGTCTCCAAAACATACAGTCGGTTTTTTACGTTCATGTGAATTTTAGCACAGTTGTTCCAAACAGCCAATTCAACTCTCTTTCACAGAGTGCAGTGAAAGTAGTGCAGTTTGGATACTCATAAGCATCCTATTTAATTCTGTATTACTCATTCCCCAGTTTGAAAAACAAAACAAAAAATGTTTATTATTTCTGTGTTTAATAATATTTTTTTCTTTAATCTGGAGTTAAGCTTACCTTGAGCTTTTGCTTCTCATTCTTAAACGTGAGTATTTCTTAAAGCATTCTGAATTTAATGCTTCTCAGAGTTGCTGTTTTGGAATCTACAAGGTTTGTAGCAATATGTTGAATAACTAAACTGAAAACTAAGGACAGATGCCATTGCAGATTTCTTCATGCTTTCCCACTGACCTACCTTTAGCTGCATCGGAGGCACTTCTGCATTTTAGCACATGCTGTCATCAACTTTGTCACGTTCTAAGAGCTTCCAAAACATACTTGGTGCTGTCTAAATCCTGAGAGGTGACAGGTAAAACAGACAAATGTATCCTGCAAAAAAAGTGTAGTTCAATTGAGTTGAGTTTCACTGTTGATAGCATCACGGTTAAACACTGCAGTGTTCCTTCCATAATCCAGATCCAGATTTCTTACTGCAGCTCGAGTTCTACATTTTGAATTACACCATCCCAGCAATGATGAACAATTCTTCTGCTAACAAGTTGCTGAAACTACCAGCAGAGATGTCAGCTAAAAGATGCACAGTTGTAGCACTACTAGTAGCAGTGAGAACATAAACTAACAGACATTTTTTGATGCTTCTTAGCACTCATCACAACAAAATCCAACTATTCAAAATTTAATTGCATCTCAAATTTCTATTGAGCTGATTACATTTAGGATATTAACTGCAGCTAGAATGTAAAATGTCATGCAGCAGTTACGAATTTCTAAGATTTTAACTGCAATCTTTTCATCTTCATAAAAAAGTTATTTTCACAGTACTGATGAATTTCTTAGCAGGAAAATGTATTTATTTATCTTCATATTTATTGGCAAATGAGGTATTAACTTCAGTATCTGTGTATATAAAATGTAGCTACACAAAATGTAGCACTTTATTTACCCAAATACCAATTGTATTGTAATGCTTCTAACAGTAGCCACACACACTTCTAACAGTGAGAATCCATGGGACTTACCCATTCACACCTACAAAGGAAACTGCTGGAGAAGGGAACCACTACATGCTGTGCTGCATCTTGCATGGTACAGGTTAGCTGCAAATATGAAAATATGGCTTCTCACACCTGTTTAACAAGTTTAGCAGAACAGACAGATTAATTGTAACTACAAAAAATAAAACAAAATCCAACTGTACTGCCAAGCTGGCATAAAACTGGAATGTATGCAATTATCACACTTGCTTAGGAGCAGAACTCGGAAGTACAGTTGGTTATTTGGGTGTCACAAAACTTGTATGGAGATTTCTCTGGCTGGAGGATTTAGTTATTGAACTTAGCAGAGTTAAGCCTTACTCCTCTTGGTTTCAGAAAACAGTACTTAGTCAAAATCCAGTTGTCTCAGAAATCAGCTAAAATTTTCTGATATTCTTAGTAATAATTGGATCAGCTCCCAGCATTAAGAACATGAATATTCATTAAAATAGAAGCTGTAGTTCAGTTAATGATAATAATGTTTTTTTCCTGACTGAACAGTTCCTTTCAGTGCTTTGGATAATTGAGGAGAAACAGCAAAGGTAAACTATTACTTAACAGTAAGACTTTCAGGTTGCAATAATGTACTAAAAATCAAGGGGCAATGTTTTGCACTGTAAAATGTCTTAATTTTTAATGCTTTTGGTTTGTTGTATTAAAAATTACCACTGGAAGTTACAGTAATTTCTTGATATTAAGTTGCCATCCTTGTGAGGTTAGAAATCCAAGGGGAACAACCTGTAAGGGCCAGAGCCAGAAGAGATGTTACAAGGCAAATCTCACAGAACATCCACAGCTGGTCAAGAACAAACCATTGATTATGACTCCATCTTGGGAATAAATCAGCCAGCAGGGCTTTCTGAGAGGTGCAAAAAGTTAGCAATCCCTTGCTTTCCAGGAGTGAAAATGAAGGCTATTACTACAGCAATATGGAAGAAAGTGCTTAAGCCATCCATTGTATTGACTCCAGTGTCACCACCACAAATGCAAATGCATTTTGATGACTTGAGCAATCTGAGAAGGTAAACAGGAGAGGAATATACTGACCACCCTGCAATTCCTCCCTTCAGATTTAACCACACAGAAGCACATGGGTGAAATATTTGGTTTCAGCTCACATCATACAGTTCTTTTGAGAAAAAAGGTATGGTAAACTTAGAAAGTCTCAAATAGCTAGGAACACACCCATCACATGCACATTTGACTTCAGGAGATAAAAGATTGTCACACAGAATAAAGAATGATACGATCGGTTTAACTCAAACTTGTGAGATGAGCTACGTGACAAAGAGCAGTAAATGAAGCAATACTTAGACCATGCCCAAAGATATGCAGAAAGAGGGTGTGGGAAAGAAAGCTGGCAGTTTATGTCAAAGATGTATCTATCTCATAAAATTAAATAGTGCAATAAAAAGGTTCACAATTGAAGCCGTTTATCTCATTAGAAAAATAGTATTTTTTATTCAGAGGTATTTTCTGAACATTTATCCTTACGAGAACTGTTACCATGGGTGACATCAGCCTGAGACATAATGCTGACATTCCTGTGGATGGAAGACTAAAGAGTCACTGGGTACTTAAACAGATCAGGATGAGGTTTATTTTTACAAAGCACCTGTCAGTGCAACTAAATGGACAAATGTAGAAGTGAAAAACATTAATGAGAACAAGAAATTACTCATATTCCCCTTACGCTTCTTGAACAAGCAAAAGCTTTTCATGTGCCAAGAAAATAACATTGGACAAGAAGGTACTCTGGTGAAAAGATGACACAATAAATAAGATTTGATGGGTTAATGGCTGGGGGCAGGTAGGGGATACCTCAACAAGTATGTTATGAACCCCAAAACAAATACAGAATCAGAATTACGAAATGGTCCGGGTTGGAAGGGACCTCAGGGATCATGAATCTTCAACCCCTCTCACCACAGGCAGGGCCACCAACCTCTGCATTCAATACTAAACCAGGCTGCCCAGGGCCCCCATCCAATCTTGCCTTGAACACTTCAGGGATGGGGCATCCACAACTTCTGTGGGCAGCCTGTTCAGAATCTGTGTAACCCAAAGCAATCAACAGTTTTCAAAATTATTAAGCTTACAGAATTAAAAAAAACCAACAACAAAAAACCCAACAATTTGCAGCAAATGGGGAACATCTGTCAAAAGGAAGAATTTCACGTCAACAAGGGTGTATAATTAACAACAACAACAAAAATTAACTGAAAATTACCTTTGCCAAACTAGTTACATGTCATACAATCAGCTGAATGCGAGAGTGAAATATTGCCAAAAAATAAGGCAACATAATCCAAAACAGTGAATAATTTGATAAGAGGAACTTTGAGCCAGTGAATCGGAGAGCTCTCTTTAGAGAAACAATGGATGCATTATATGATCAACAAAGGAGGTGCTAACAAGGAAAAGTTGGCCAGCATCATGGCAGAAAGGTATTGTCAAAAACATGACCTGGCTCACAAAGGAAGGAAGCAAAAAAGACAAACAAAATTAAATAAATACATGTACAACATGGAATGATTGCCATCTTCTTCTCTTCCACTGTATCAGCCCACAACATTTGGTCTCCTTTCCAATGAAAAATAGGGAACATCGCAAATAAGAGAAGCCCCTTCTCTTGTGATGCATTCCACTGCTGCACCGTTCCCTCATTAAACAGCACTAAGCGTAGCATCAAGTTCAGTCAGCAAAGCAGGAGGGAAAAATGATTTCATGCAAATAAAGTCTTAAATCATCCTATGCACTGAAACAATATTAAAACACTGTTTTAGAACTCAAGATTAAAGAGAGAGAAAAAAAAAAGAGACGACCAGAGTTCCTTTCAAACATTTTTCATGGCAGATTTTTAAACCAGGGTCTTTGACAGATAGAGCCGTTGAAGAACAGACAGTGGCAGAAAAAAAATCGTGGCAGAGGACTGACAGGGAAGATTTTTCAAGCAGTCTCATGAAGGCAAGTCAAGACCACAGTCTCTCTCTCTCCTATTTTACCTCACCCCTTCCCTTCTTGGTAATGGATGTTGTCCTGATCTGAGGCATTAATCCTGACATGAATGCTTCATTATGGAAAACTTAAAAGATTATGATTTAGGCTTCTGGCACTTTGAGGCCCAAGTGTGTAAATGCATGTTATTTCAGAGCCTCTGATTCTATGCATTTGATAGATTTGATGGAACCATCTTTCTCCCAGCTCCGACTAACACCAAAGGCTGGCATCAGTTCTCATTTTTTGTTGTTTCAAAGTATGCCTTCATGCTAGGTTACAAATGTAACCATTAAGTCATGGAACCTAGGTTCAAGCTTGAAATACAGAGGGTACGATTGAATGTACTAGGCAATTAACACTGGGAAGATTGTAAAATATAGCTAAAGACACAAGAGTGATGCTATATAAGGACATCCAACTTTTCTTGTTACTATGACATTGGCTATCCTTAACACAGCACTATGAATGATAGCAACACAAGACATTTTTAAAGATTTGTTTAGCTTAGTAATCTCTGAAGTCCTGAAATCCAGGCACGCTGCACTAAATATTACAAAGTATACAGCAGAGTGTTTAAAGCTTAAAAATATTTTATTTACACTTCTCTTTATACACATTTTTATACAACTTTTTTTTCAGTTTAAAAACTGAACAGAGCACAAATGCAAGTCTGAGCATACTGTACCCACAGCTAGGGAAAATTACCTTCTGCCAAAAAGAGACAAGAGAAAAGGCTTTTTAAAACAGTTTAAAAGAGGCAATCGTAAATTTTTTCAGATAAGTATATAGCAGCCCTGATGTAGTCATTAGACAGTTAATCCAAATGTACATATGAGGTCACATATATATTTATATATCTATATAACATTAATTTTATATAGGAAAAGTATTTCCAATTGCTAGACATAAACACAGCAGACTTCGAAAATAACTTTTCCTGTTATCAAATACATTCTTTTCAGTACAAAGAATCTGATATTGTACACTAGAAACAAGTGGGATACTATAGCAGAATTGCATTCTCCAGCATATAATAATATACTTTAAAAAGATCTAAAAAAATAACAATATATAGGGAAAAATATTTAAAATTAAAAAACATAGCTCAATCTTCCCTTCACCTGTTCCCATAACTGATGTAGAAGTTAGGCGGGTTCCACTGAGGTAATAAAAGCCCCCTAAGCACAGCTGCACTACAGTCCTACATAACACTGTATCTCCTAGACTTACAGCAAAGCTTTCTCTACCGGACCCATAAATAAAATCTACCATCTGCAAATAGAAGTGGTTTTCCCCTAGCTACCAACTCAATATTAATCCAAAGGTATCTGACCATGGAAAGCTATTTTAAAAGACTATCTAAATGTTAATTCTAATTTGGGAAAAAAATAAAATAGTAGCGATCTAGTGAAGCTTTGCACAAAGAAGTAGGTTTTTCTGCCACCTGCCACATGACTGCTTTTATAATGTTTGCCTACAGAAAGGGAAAGTCTAAATTGTTTACAAACATCCAAACGTAGAATACAGATGCAAACGTAGTCATTAATATTTATTTTAAGCAGCTTCAAATTGCTTTACAAACATGAAAACCTCAAAATGTTAGCTACAAGACACTGGCAAGCTCTGTTCTAAACGGATTACATGTATCTCTCCACTCTGTTCTCTCCCACATTCCTTCAGTGCACCCTGCCACATGGGACAGACCGTACTGACTGAAGTAACTTCACCAGGTATTTGTTACTAAATGAAGAACAGGCTGGACGTTTTCTTTCATTACCAAACCCCTGTAAGCACTTAGGCACGTGTTTAATCATCTTTGTGCCTTTATGCTTTCTTTTATGTAACTTAGAGCTTTATGAATTCTTTATATTGGACTCTTCACGTGTGTAAAGTCCACATTTGAAGCATTAAAAAGAATGAGGGGCCCAATTCACTACTTTTCTAATGAAAAATACCTTTAAAAGGCAAATGTGATCTACAAATGTGATTGTCTCTATTTCTAAAAAGACCTTGTCATTTACAAAGGTGAAAGAAATTTATTTTTAGGGTAATTTGCATCTCCCTATAATGCTTACCTTCATTTCACGAAAGAACAGACATAATGAGCTAAGCAGTGCTTTTCTTTTCCTTTTTTCATTTGTACCTGCTGAATGTTATCCTTCAGTTCCTGAGCACCAGTGCTTCGTTCTTGACGCAAATATGTACTGTATTATCGGCAGGAAAAAAGGCAGCCCTTGTGTTTGTAAGGCAGGAGGTCTGTAAGAAATAATGGCTGCAAACCTCGGAGACCAGAGAAATATTAAAGTCACAAACCCTTAGAACTAGTATGAACTGCCACACTGCAGAAAGTGGGGCATCCCTATGTTTCAAAGGAGGTAACAAAAGCAGGTTCCAGGTACATGACACACAGCTACTAGCCCCTCTCGCTGGCAGTGCTTTCTGAAAGAGCAGATCCTTAGAAAAACTACATACTGCCTCCCTGCAGTTGAATCAAAGGGGAAAGAATTTCAAAAGGGTTCTTTTCAGCCTAATACCTCCCACTGTGAAACCACTGCCAACACCTCGTGGGGAAAAAATAAGCTATTTTTTTTCCTTACGTAGTAATCTGCAAAGAATTATCTGTTCCATTACAACAGAGATAGCAGCAAGCTGAATGGCAACAGGCAGCGTTCAGCCAACTCACAGAAGCTCTATGCTTTTTATCCATTCTGGCTCATTTGGAAATAAAACTCCTTCCTGGAGTTAGATGCTAAATTAAGAAGTGAAGCCGATAATTTTTTGCTATAAGCGTGAATAAACTAGACTGTAACTCACTATGTCCACCTTTTCTTAAGAAAAGGCAAGTACGCTTGCAATTTTAAAGGAGGTCATATGTTACATTTTAAATATCTAGGCAAGATCAGATTTGCAAGTGTTGCAGGAAGGACGGAGTGGAAATAGACGAAATCCCCCTCAAACTTCCCAATCAAAAATTGCAACTTACCTTCTTCTTGACCAATGAAAGATGCTTTTAAAATCCTCCCTCTTTTACCCAGTTTACTTTTGCTTTTATTTTAACACTTAACAATCAGGAGCTAAAACTTTCAATAAAACAGAAGATACCCCTGTGACACAAAACACAACAATAACTGCCTCACAAGTTCCACTGCAGTGGAAAAGAGAAAAGCCTCAAATTCATGCTTGAAACAATAAAAACATGGTAGAAATGTGAATTAACAAAACAATCTCACATTCCCCTGTGTTACAGCCAGCTTCTTGAAGACAAGACTGCATGGAGGCCCTAACCAACAGTTCAAGCTAGAATTTCACAATTCTGAACAATATCTTTCAGATCTGGACAGCTGAAGATAAACAGGAACTTAAAAGCAGAGCATCTAAAAATAATCTGGTTCTTAATGCTTCAAGTATCAATACACACCAAAGCCTTCACTAGCAGTTGCTTTGCCGACAAAACTCAGAAGTTGCTTAAATACAGACCTGAAACATGAAACACTTCCATCGTTACCAATACTTCTAATTAAGTCTTAAGTAATATCCATTTACTACACTTGAATCATGGAAAACCAGATTCCCAGAACCACATCCATTTCCCAGACAAGCCCTTGTGGTATAATATTGTATGCTACAAGGGCTGCTCCAAAAGTAATGCCTCCTGTTTTATTATGGTGGCCTACAACACCAGAGGTCGATGTTGGTGGTATGGCAGTAGATTCTGAACCTTCCCACCCATATTCCATTCCCTTTTGTTGCTGTGTGACAGATGGCCGCATAGGGACAGCCTGACACAATGATGTCTAACATGGAAGTGCAGGTGAAATAACGGTGTGGAATTTAATTCCTCCATGTGGAAAAAATGGCACCTACTGATGTACAACACTCACAGAATGTTTCTGGAGATCCAAGAGTGGATGTGAGCACAGTGAAGTGGTAGGTGGTGGATTTTAGCAGTGGTGACAGTGACACTGAAGATAAGCCACATTCCAGATGGCTCAACACAGATGTCACACTACAAAATTTATCCACGTGAAGCAGCAGATTGTAATCAGGAAACTGTATAGGATAAGTATCTACTTCATTGTGTCGGAAATAATGTTGAAATATCACAAAGCTTGCGATGAGTGCCAGAAACGCTCACACAGGAACAGAAAGAACACTGTACGAAAGTTTGTCAGGACCTACTGAGGCTGAAAGTGAGTTTCCTCAACTGCACCATTACCAGTGATGAGATGCAGTGTCAGCACTGAGTGACTGAGTCAAAAAGGCAGTTCTTGGAGCAGCAAGATGTGAATTTTCTATCAAAGAAAAAGACAAGACACAGCTCTCAGCAAGTACAGTAATGCCTTTTGGGATAGGAAAGGTGATCTGTCTGGATTTCCTGGAATCTGGACAAACCATCAACTCTGACCCATACATCATGATGCAGACTAAGCTGAAGGCTCCAACTTCCAGAGTCAGGCCAGAGAAGAAGACAACCTTTCTCCTGTCACACAATAACTCCAGGCCCCATACATGTTTGAAGACCATGGATCACACTGCCAATCTTGGCTGGACTGTCCTACCACACCCACTGTGTAGTCTGGATTTGGGGCCTTCTGATTTCCACCTGTTCAAGCTGAAGAAAGATGGACTGCATAGGCAACATTTTCAATGCTGGGGAACAGTGGGTCACCACCAGTGGGAGACACAAATTTTTATATCTGTGGCATGCATGCTCTTGTTCATTACTGTTGAGAATGCATAGCTAATGGTGGCGACTGTGGTGAAAAGTAGTTTTGTAGCTCAGAATTTGCTCTATCAAAGTGTTATTGTGCTCCTTGCATGTGTTGCAGTTTCCATGAATATAAACAGGAGGCATTACTTTCAGAGTGAGCTACATATTATTAAGTTCCCCTGAAGCTTACTCAAGCAGGATTAGATTTTTGCTGCCCCATACATTTATTAAGAAATAAGACTGTGACAAAAAGAGTAAGAATAGTAAAGAAAAAGGTTTTGGTTTTTTTGTGTGCCCTAATACTCTTTGAGATAGATACAGAAGAACCTTCTTACTTGCACACAGCCAGCACCTACTGGAATCAGGTCATCTCTGCACCTACAAAGGACAATGTACGCACAAGTCTCACAGTGGAACTGAGGTTTTAGTGTAAATGAAGTTGGCTTTAAGTTAGACTACTAGGAAAGTAAATGATATTTCTCATTCAGTAAAGACTTGAATTTAAAAGCAACCCTTAGTCTACATGAGAAGGCTGAAAATCAATATTTGATCCAGTCACTACCGGCATAGATAACATTAATACAGCTGTGATGGCATAAATTATCCTTCCTGTTAACTTATAGAAAGAAAATGCTCAGTAAGTCATTTTTAAGAAAAAAAAATCTACTGATCTGATTTAGATTATCCCATCTCAACCCAGAACATAATTACTACAAAGATATCACCAATTATATAGATGAGGAGTTGTATACGTTGTTTTCACTTCTGTTGATGATTTAAAATTCAGTTTAGGTAAGTAGGTGTTATTTTTAACACAGGATATTTTGCAGTGATTTTGGTCCTTCTGCAAGTGCATTCTTCTGAACTCCCTGAGTACTGTACATTCCTCTTCTACAGTGATTGTTAACTAGAAGATGCTGAATAAAGTCGATTTGCAGTGCTGTCTATTAAGTCTACTGCTTAAAGAAAAGCAAAGTAGCATAAGACTTTATAGAAGATGCAAATGCATGTTTCAGTATTTTCTCCCTACACTCCTGAACCAAGTGTAAGCCTTTGAGTTACCCACATTTCTCCTTCAGATTCTATTAGTGATTGTTTTTACAACATTAAAGAAAGTAAGAATTGAATTGTCATTATTTATACCTTGGCAAATCATTCTTACTGATATCTGCAAGTTAACACAATGGAGTTATTAAAAGCCCTCAGGAACAGCACATTTCATTTCAGGCACTATGAGGTCAGTAGCTACAGCCATGAAATTTGTTATTTTTTTTGTAGAAACACAAATGGTAGTAGCCATCCAAACACCTAACTCAAACACAGTAGTTCACAGCAGCAAATAATTTTAAAAAAACCCTACTATTAATAAAAGATTTATCACTTCTATATGAGTACAAGCAAAGCCACTGCTGAGAATACACTATAGTACATCCAGTTCTGAAAATACCTGTGGGTCAAAGCAGTGCTGGTGAGCATTTGCTTACTGACACTTTCCATTTTCATAAAAAACAAGACTGGTAGCACATTCATACATAAAACAAACTCAGGTAAGAAGTATTTAGTTTTTTTTTTAAATAATTTATAAAACAACAAATTATTAAGAGCTCATTACGTAAAGTCAGTATAAGGATTTTAAAGTTACTGAATCAATCAGTATATGCTAAAGATACTTTGATATCAAATGATGCTTCCAGTTACGTAAGAACTTTGACTTACTTAGCTCATTAATGGATAAAACTACACCTTAAATTTAACGGATATGGCTGAATTTGTGCACTGGTTTAAATACAGCTGCATGTAAAAAGGTTGTTTTTTGTTTTTTTTACAATGTATATGCATGTACATACTTTACTTACCAACAAACATAATGCAGACAACAGAAGGCAGCACAGAAATAGTGTTTTAAATAATAATATTTTTAAAAAGTTAAAGTTTTTTCAATTCAGTAGAAAACGTGTAATTCACATTTTGGCAGACTTACCAGTACTAATATACAAAACTTGGAAAAAAAACACATGCAAAGAGACTGAGGTTATACTTAACAGCATTTAAGGGAAAACAGAAACACCTCGCAGATGTGAGAGTACTTTGCAATTAATGGGAAGAGCATCCAAACACAACATAAAATGCAAAAATGGTTTTAGCTTTGTTCTTTTAAACTTAGTTGTATCCTACTACAGCTTATGAGTTCTACTTCGATGCTCAATAAAAAAAGAGAATCAGGTCTTTCTTCCTTCCACAAATGTTTTGTTAAATTCAATTGATTTGAGAAGAAATCTGGTACCGTGGCCACAGGAAAACAAACAAAAAAACAAAAAAGTCAAACAAGTATGGACATGAAATGCTATCAAAAGAATAAGCACACCCCAAAGATATATTTTCTTTCCCCTGTTTACAACTGCATTTGTTGAAACAAAACAAAAACAAATCCCACAACTTTTACAGTATCAGACCAACTATTGGCTTTTCTAACAAACTTGGTAAGTATTCTCCCTGTAAATCCTGTTTCTCTTAAGCATTTAGCAGTTGTCCTTACACACAACATGCTAATGTCTCTGAAGGAATTCAACTAGATTGTATGTTAGCTGCTCCAAAAGTAATGCCTCCTATTGTATTATGTTGGCTCACAATGTCAGAGGCAGATGGCGGTGGCATAGCAGTAGAAGTTGAACTTTCCCTCCAATAGTCCACTACATTTTGTCGCCATGTGACAGATGACAGCAGACGGGCAGTCTGGGGAAGTGGGTGTGAAGTGTGTGTGACTGAAATTCCTCCAATAAAACAGGAAACAATTGCACCCACTGACATTCACTGACACATGCTGAACGTTTCTGGAGATCAACAGTGGATGTGAGCACAGTGAGGCAGCGGGTGGTGCATTTCAGCAGTGGTAAGCGATGTGAAAGACAAGCTATGTTCCAGATGGCTGTGCACAGCTGTCACATCATGAAATGAAGAGTGTCTCGATCAGACCACTTGCGTGAATCAGTGAGTTACGACCAGGAATCCAGTGCAAGGCTGAAAGTGACGGTTTTCTGGATCGCATTACTGATAATGAGATTTGCTGTCAAAATTTTGAGCCAGTGTCAAAACAGCAGTCCACAGAGCATGAATTCCTCACAAAAAGTTCAGGATGCAGCCGTCAGCAGGTAAAATGTGTGCACAGTCTTTTGGGATATGAAGGCGGTGATCCTTCTAGATTTCCTGGAACCCAGATAAACCATCAACTCTGACCGCTCCATCATAGCGCTGATTAAGCTGAAGGCTTAATCCAGAGCCAGGCTGTAAAAGATCAACAAAAAATACTTTATGACCTTTTGGGGTGTGCTTGGTATGTCTCAAACACTTGCAGTGCAAAGCTGTTGCCGTGACAACTAGCTGACAGGTGGGACGTGACATAAACCAAAAAAGAAGAGGGCCTTTCTCCTGTAACATAGTAACTCCATGCCCCACACTAGTTTGAAGACTGTGGATCACACTGCCAATCTAGGCTGGACTGTTCACCACATCCATTGTATTACCTGGATTTGGCGCCTTCTGATTTCCATTTGTTTGAGCCGACGGAAGACAGACTGCATGGACAACATTTTCCTATGAACTATGCCATCAAAGCAGCCATAGAACAATGGGTCAACTCCGCTGGTACAGGTTTTCACAAGCACAGCATGCCAGGCTCTTGCTCGTTACAGTCGAGAATGCATAGCCCATGGTGGTGACTATAGTGAAAAATAGCATTTTGCAGCCAAGAACTTGCTCAATCAAGTAATGTTACTGTGCTCTTTGTGTATGTCGTAGTTTCCTTGGAAATAAATAGGAGGCATTACTTTCGGAATGATCTACTTTTTTTTTCTGACAAATAAGATTCAGCTTTTCATATTTCACTGAGAGTGTTTATTCTGTTTCAGCTGCAACGTCTAACATGTTCCAAAACATATTCAGGGAAGTGCAAGCTGCAGACCTGTAAGCCATCCAGCTTGCAGGGCATCCTTGGGTATTCATCTTCTTTCCACTTGTTTTCCTCTGGATCAAAGGTGAGAATTGAGTCACTGTAATGACCATTGTAACAGAGGCCTCCAAGAACCATTATCTGTTTGTCCAGAACAGCTACACCATGACCACTCCTACCAATTGGCATAGAAGCCAATATAGTCCACTGATCAGTATCAGGGTCGTAAACCTCTGTAGAGGGACATCCTTGAGATTCAAAGGAAGCCCTGAGGATCACACAGACACCTCCAAAGACATAAAGCTTACCATTGTAAGAAATCATTTTGTGAAAGCATCTTGCATAATTCATTTTGCATTTGTTCTCCCAACAGTTAGTGACCACTTGAGTTCTCCTTGTTCGCTGCTCTACTGTCCCTTCTTTACTGGGATCAAATACACACACTTGCTTAGAAGTTGAAGATGATGTAATTCCACCAGTGATATACAACTTGTTACCCAGCACAGTTCCTTCATGTCCATATTTATTGACTGGATAGGGATCTACAAATTCCCATTTATCTTCAGTAATATCATACCGTTCAGTTGAATAAAAGGTTTCATCCCTGGTTCTCCCAGCCACTGCATAAACGTACCTCCCAATAACTCCAACAGCAAACTCAGAACGCGGGACAGACATGTCTGCCATTCGTAACCAAGTGTTCTGTCTTGGGTCATATCTAAACACTTTGGATGAAGCATGAAACTCACCATCTGGCCCCAGCTCTTCCCCACCTAACAGGAACACAAAGTTATTCACAATGGCAAGGCAGTCTGGTCGTAAAGGTACTTGAGGACCCTCTAGTTCCCACCAGACCCTCGGTTTGTGCAAGAGAAGAATTTTACTGTTTACCATACTGTGTCCTATCATTCCTCTAAACACGGCAGTCTGGGGTTTGGCAGAACGAATTTTGTTCGATTTCATTTCCATCAAAGGCTGCTGGTGAACGCTATGAAAGTAATTCATGGCTTGGTCAACCTCATGTCGCAGCTGCCGGGAGTATCGGTAAAACTCTGATGTTTTTACCTATGAATACATTTAAAAGATATTAAAATTCTGACCAAGAGAAACAATTCAGAAAACCTAAATGGCTATGTGTAATTTAAAAATTATTTTACTTAGTCTAAGTCAGGTGTTCTCAACAGCAATTGCATTCATGTATGAAGGTTTAAGATAACGTACAGTTATTCAAAATCTACAAGGTAGTTTAGTGATTAAAAGCACAGTGGCTAATGTTGTCACTGGAATACTCACACACAAAATTTAAGCAGGGATTACGCACAGGTGAAACGCCCAGGTCCAAAAATCATTATTCCTTCTTCCCAAGAAAGCCTCTTTACACCTTCTGCTTCATTGATGAAATGTCTAAGTTAAAAGCGTACTATTTCCCTGGTTTTTAAAGATATCCTGCACACCCATTCTTATTTACCTAAGTCCACTCTAGACTGACTTCTAATGAAGTCTCACAACAGAGCCCAAGTAGGTATTCCCAAACACTACACTCTGCTCACAGGACTTATTTGTGATGGAAAGGCAAGGTTCAGAATCCCTTCCTTCAGAACACGCAATCACATTTCTCACTCTACAAGGTTCCCTCTCCGTATGTCTCCTCAAGCTAACACACACCTTTAGTACAAGAAGAAAACATATCAATCAATATCCCTTTGCTTGCACATTTTATTGGTGAATTGTGCAGGTAAGTTTGAACTTCCATCTCCCAAGTGAGCCTTACAACCTTTGTACTACTGCCTAGTTATGACACTCACCTCACTGTCAGTCCTCAGTTTGAAGAGCCTGCTCAAATTTTCTTAAAGAACCATTATAAGACTCTACCTACTATCTAAGCTAATTTTGAGTTCCTCCAGCTGGTTCTGCGATGACTCCAAAACACATCCTCTGATTGAAACGTTCCAAACATTTTTATTTGTCTAGCACCAAACAGGTCTTGGATTACCTCCTGCTGTACAGACAGCCTTGTCTCACCACAGCATTCTCACTCACACCATTAAAACAAATTTTAAAAAACCAAACAAACCACAACAAAAACGAAAAGCTAAATATTGCCAAATGCTCAAATCCTCTATCAGATTTTTCACATAAAACTGGACTGCCTTTGAAAGCTCTGTACACCATTAATTCCTACCACCTCCAGAACAAGGAGCAGTACTTTAAAAAAATGTCATGCCAGTCCAAAATTTCAAAGCAACCACAAGAAAACACGAGAAGATAATGTATTTCAGTATCTGTTCCCCACCACTTTGCATTCCTTTTCCCAAAGGACAAAAGCCTGTACCACCACCTATATAAGTAGCAGTGGTGTTAATGAGTTTTCATGTATATGAAAAGCAATTTCAGACAGCTTCTCAAGACAAGTGAGACAATCTCTTAGTAGGTTACTACTTAACTTGGTAAGGGCACCAATATAAAAGCAAATCCCCAATCTCTTGCCGTAAACCAGTAAGGCAACAAGAAGCAAATGCATCTACCAATTATAAACAACTGTCTCAGACTAAAATATGTAGAGAAGTTGCCTACAAGCACAGACCTGAAGAGATATGAGTTCTCAGAATACTGAGAAAAGAAAAACAAGGTGACAATAGCCTGTTTATCTATATTTCTGTGAGAAAACATACTTGGAGGCTTCCTAGCCTTTGCTGTTGGGAAAAAATGCTCTCACCAGCACAGTCTCTACCATATACAAACCATACTTCTCCTGAGGCTCAAATGATGGTCTAAGATGAATGCTAGTATATGCCTACATGAGCAAGCAGAGACTGCTCACGTTTGCTTGATATTAACAAACACAAGGTAACTGCAGGACAGTTTGCCCACTTTCATATTCACGTGTTTTCTGTGTGAGAGCTTTCAAAATTACGCTAAAGTCCTATTCAGCCCATCGTAAGGAAAATTTCCCATACACCTATACTTTTTAGTAATTTTATAATAATTTGCACGTATGTGCAAAAAATGAAGCAAGCACTGAAACTTAAGTGTTTCATTATTAAAACACAACAGTGGATTTGGCAAGTTTTAGTAAATTAAGAATATGACAACAAGCCTTCTGTGGGAACCGCTGTCTGATACCCAAAATATGCTGAAGGAAAATGCTTAGCATCCAAAAGTATGCTTCTGTCATTCCCTGTAACCAAGAAGTAGTTGACCAAGAAACATCTAAGTGCTAATGTACCAATTTTTTTTTGTTAAGTTCAAATGAAGAAGCTCTAAAAGGCTCACGTACCCAATTGGTAGCATATAAAATCAAAGAGAATGCTCCTAAGTTTGTTCAAAAAATGTGACACATGGACATATACACTGACTGGGGTACATTTGGGATACACTTGAGGTGAAAAAAATGTGCACTGTTAAGAGCACACTATCAGCTCTGAATTGATTAGAAAAATACAAAAGCTTTACAGCATTCTCAGAGTTTAAAGAAAGACTTTCTGTTCTCCTTCCAGTTGATAAAGTTTCATTTACGATTTTTTTTCGCATTCTTCCCAATATTTCCCTTCAGTTTTCTCTATAAAATCTTCTTAAAGAGGGTCTGATAGGACATAGCATCAATGTAACTGTTACCCAGAGGTGAAATATCTTATTACATCATCTACCAGTTACAGCTATTCAGTCAGACAGGCAGGGAACATCATGAATATAATGAAATGTGCCTTTTCGTAAAAAGAGGATTAAAGATAATTAAAAACATCAACCTACATTCATCCCTCAGGTAGCCAACACCAAACACATCAAAGTTTCAACAAAACTGTTGCCATCCACCCAGCCATAGTACACTGGAGCTGGAACACATTTTCTGTTCTTCATTTTGTATCAATGAAACACTGCCTTCCCAAAATAAAGCAGCTACTGATCCTTGTCTGTTTTCCTGCAGAACTGCAACAATTGCCAATCGCTCTTCTAGTCCGACTGGCTATAGGTTTAAGAATTTCTCTATCTACATTTTAACAAGAGAAGAAGTCAAAAGACAAGCCCTTACACTAGTTTCTATCTGAAAAGTGAAGTGGCCCCTGCAAAGCATCAGAGTGTTCTACATTACTCTTTTCTTATTTTTCCCTTTTAACAAATAAGCAAATTACTAAGCAGAAGAAAGGTAATGAAATGCAAGATAAGTTTTCTGTAACAAAGTTTGTCTTCAGTACAGAGCTTACTTTTTTTCCAGCAACCACATACAAGTATTGCTATATTTTTATTTTTGTTATCTGGTGTTTTAGGGAAAAACCATCCAGAAAGACACTTTTAGTTACCCAATTAACACATAGGTGATGTTTGAAGTGGGCACTCCAATCTTAACATGTTATTGTCTGGGGTACAAATGAGCCTGGTTCCTTCTGTACATCCAGTAAAAACATCAACAACCACAGAATGGCTCAGACTGGAAGATACCTCCAAGCCCACCCAGCCCCAACCCCTGCTGTGGGCAGGGCTGCCCCCCACCAATTCAGCTGCCCAGGGTCCCATCCAACCTGGCCTTGAGGCCTCCAGGGATGGGGCAACACAGCTTCTCTGGGCAGCTGTGCCAGCACCTCACCAGCCCCTGGGGAAAGTAATCCCTCCAAAAGTAAAAAATTTCCTCCTAAAATCTGGATAGCACATAACATGATTTCAGCATTCGCAGCCACATAAGAAAAAACTGTTTCAAAGATCATAAAGTTTCACTTACTTGTGAGTTTTCTAAAATTAGTAATTCTGAATATTTAAGTGAAGTAATACAAAGTCGATACACGGAATACAGAAATTATGCTATGTCTTTTCAATGAACAAAGATATTTGTATCAGATTTCTAGAGAGCTTATTCTTCCTCTTCCTTGCAGATAAATAAACAATTGAAATTTGACCGGGGATTATGCTGACTGAAAACTAAGGATTCATCAGCCTTCCTACGGTTCATACTGTTTTCATATCTACTTATCTCTGGCCATATTCAGAACATAATTATAAGCCTGTCAAAAAACATTATCAAACTTTTGACACGCTGACTGAATTTTGAATTTTGAAGTGAAATAGAAAAAGTTAAACATGTCTCTAAAACGGCAGCAACCAAAGTCAACCTGCAACCACATATCAGTATACACAACACTACGGATAAGTTGCTGTATTTAACTTTTCCTTTTTCTAGTCTGGGTCTCTACTTACATGTGGAAACTGGTCAGTACCTGCACAGGACTTGGAAGGGCTATTCTGCAAGAGGTACAAGCACTTGGCGTTTGTCAGCCTAGCTATAAAAAGATAAAACGACATAGCCTCTATGCAGCAAGGACAATACTGTCAAAATCAGTGTCTCACCAGTTTATAAAAGGGAACGGCAAGAGAAATTGTCACAGTCAAGCTGAAATGTAACTACAAACAACTCTCAGAACAAAACCAGCAATCTGTATGCCAGAACCAAGGTGCTCAGCAAAAGATAAATACTGCTAGCAAGTCTATCCAAGTCAGTGATAAACCTCAGACAAATACAAGTGCAGAGCCCATTTAAGAGAAGTAGAAACCTCTAACCTTAACCACTAGGCACTTCTTGTTCTTAACTTCAGCATATGAAGTTGTAGAAAATATTTGAAGTGATTCACTAAACATGGAGGTGAGAAAAACATCGATAAAAAAGCGCTGAACATCTCTAAAGACAAAATGACAGGGACATAAAATTATAATGCCATCTTTCAAAAATGATGATATGCTAGTCCAGGAAAGCACATACTCAAAGATGGACTAATTAATATGCTTTTCATCCTATCTCTGAAGTACAGGTTGATACTCCCAGTGATTAAGTTTCTGATTTCAACCAGGAATTTATTAATCAGCACGGACTAGTTGTAACCCTACACAAAAGGCACTAGAAAAAAACCCAGATTTAAGGTCACAGAGTTTTGAAACAACGCTTCCTCTGTTCTTACATACAAAAACTAAATGGAGATTAATTAAAATATGCAGGAAAGGCACTACATGCTCACAGTACAGTAACAGACAAACTCAACTTTCCTCAAGCCTTGCAGAGCCCAGGATAGGTTTCAAATAAGACGGATGTAACATGCACAGTGGAACGCGTGCTTCCTAGCCATAAAACCTCTCCTTTCTTTACCAACAATTTCCTCAAATCCTTCCATTTTCCTCATCCATCTACATCAATGGCCAAGCAACAACAGAAGTACCTATTCCTACCTCAGAGGCAGTTCTTCCAGGCAGTTCAGAGCAAGCACACAGGCTACACCTTCCCTTGTGCATCCCATGTGCACGTCAGTCTTGAGGTATTAACCCAGTCACTCATCACTTCCCTTTGAAAAATACAAGCCATCCCACTCAGATTGTAAATCTCTCTTAAAACTGCTGTAAGAAACAAAATGGCTTAAGATGCATAAAATATTCTCTCTGTGACATGGAAAATTAAGTTATGTAAGTTATTTATGTCTCAGGATAATGCCAGGCATCTTAGAAATGTCTATTAGAAAGATTACATAAGAATACATATGACAAGTCAGTGACTGTATTGTGAATGCTGAATTTGCTCAACTGTAAGAATCAGCCTCAGACTGTATTTGGTACATTCACACAGGATTTTACCCTGTGCTTCAGCGAAGGATAAATTTTTATCTGTTCTGCAATCTCCAGAAAAGCACAGTTACCAGTATTTTCCCCTTCCTACACAAAGGAACGCGTTTCCTTCAAGTTACTGACAGAACAGTTAACAAACATGCTCTTTTATTAAATAAAGAAAAAATTTAATGCTCGGTCATATTATTATGTTTGCTTCAACCGCAGATGTCTTTTGTCACTGGTCACGCTGAGTTACTCAGCACTCTCCAGCCAGGTCAAAAAAACATTCTTAGCTGCAGTGGTGAATGACATCCATGTTTAGCTCTTCTTCCCTCTGCTTAACATAGCACAGTCCCACAATAGAAATTTGACTGGTTTCGTTCCACTGTCGCATACAATTAACGGATAGGGCATTCACACACACAAAAAAAAGCTTTTACAGGTGACTATGTAGCCTGGGATGCTGAAAAAGACATCTCTCCTTTAGTTTAGCTGCTTGTAGCTGCCAAGAAAAATTGCAAGAAGCAATGCGTGCAGAATAGATATCAGTGACACTAAACCAACTTCAGAAGTTAAACCTAAATAGAACCCTAAAAAAGCACAACACACATTTTTCACTTGTGTTTGCAGAAAATTACACTGAAGACAGTTTGATACTTGAACTCCTATCCCAAAAACTCAAAGAGCTGAAATAGACTCTTTCACATGTATTTTAATCTATGTGATTGACTATAAGAATATGTGGTGATATCAGTTTTCCTAATGAAGACCTTAAACTATGCAATGAAGTAGAAGTTTTATTACAAGCAAGACACTACACAGCATCTTGCAGATTCCAGCTCTTACTAGCTGGAATCATTTTTAACCTGATATAAACATCACATTAGTGTTCTAAAACAATTCTAGGTAATTAGATTTATTTTATGTCCATAGGCTAATATAGGCTTGTCAATGTAAGTTACATATTAGGTCTACTCAATCCACACACACACAAAACAATAAAAAAATGTAATAATTCAGTCTGAAATAATTAATAGTTTTTATAATTTATAATACAGTCTTATCTGTATATAGATACCAAAGTAAAAATGTATGAGAAAATAATGGTAAGAAGCCCAACAAAATACACAGGGAGTTAAATCCTATTAATTCACTGAGAGGTGAAAAATACAGAATTAATAGTTCATCTGAACACACAAGATTAATAACAATGACATAACATAATAGCACAAGCTGAAGAACTCCTAACTTGAATACCCTTTCAGTTACTAGCCTGTGAGAGCTGCTTACAAGCTTTGAGTTCTCTACCCACATCAGATGTTCCCGTGTTTCTCAGGAACTAGAGAGCAACATTTTTTGTCTATTCTTCAACAGAGCAGTGGAAAAAGCAAGTTCTCATTTAACCTCTTAAAACATACAATCATTAGTTGAATTTTTTGTCACCTCTTACAAAGACTCCTCTGATACTTCAAGTAAGTCGTTACATTTCACACTGTCAATCACTTTTGATCGTATGATATGCCTTGAGTAAAATCACATGGACGAGGAACTTTGCAGGATCGGGGCTTACTCCTAACTGCTGTGTAACAGCACAAGTACTGAAGACACAATAAAAACAAAAACACTGCAGATTTAACAGCAGATGTCAGTTTTCATTTGTAAAGAAGAAAAATGTACTTAAAACACACAAAATCTACAGTGAGCACGTTTTGATTATATCAGTAACATTTGTCACAACGTATGCTCTACAAAATCTCTGGGAAGCAAGAAACAACTTGCGGAAAACAGAAAGAATGACTGAAATAAAACCAGATACAAGTGACCTTATCTTAAAATGTCTTTTCATATGAAGTTACTTCAACACATATATTACAACCTACCTGTTCTCCAGCCACTGTACATACTATTGCCTAACAATCAGGTGGCAGTACTCATAGATGTTTGTTTTCTACGGGTCTACTGTTCCTCCTAACAGGACTGGGAATCCTACTTGTTTAATGGTACGTTGCCCTAGCTAAATGATGAATTCTGCCTACTGCTTTTCAAATGCACCAACCTTCTCAAAAACACTGGATGGTGTCATCAAACAAAACCTGATGTTCTGAATGATGGTGTCCGTATGCCTCCAGCGTCTTCTATCATGGCGCAGCCAGGCCTGAACAGCTTCATACAGCTCTATCTCTGGAAACCTGCTCAGATGATCATTATCCAAGTAAGACATGAGCTTTTCAAAGCTCAGATATGAAAGGAAGTCAGGTCTGGACATGAGCGGCACAAAATTCTCTAGCAGGAAAGAGTCTAATTTTTCCCTGACTCCTTCGATGTTTACACCAAAATCATCCAGAAGTCTCATGATTTCTGCACAGTTTTCTAGGCAGATTTTAGCTAGGAGAAAAGAGCAGCAAAATTTTACCACCTCTATAAGCTGGACGTACATGGCAGCCTGAAGGATTTCGTGAACAGTGTTCATACTCAGTTCAATAGTTCCATAATACATGAATTGGAGGACATGACTGAAGCCTGTAGCTGTCAGACCTTTCAAATGGATTTTGTCCTGATCTCGTTCCCGCATGTCAGCTGTGAACATAATCCTGAAGTAATCACTCTGGGTGGCAAGCAGTGCTTTATGGGCCTGAAATTGGTGGTCTTCAATGACAAGTGTGACATCAAGAAGCAATCCCTCCTCATACAGTGCTCTGAATCCAGCAGAGACACTGGTGTCATGGATGGAGGAGCTAAACCCTTCCACGTCCCCTGCCATGAATCACCTGAAGAAAAAATAAAATAAAAATAAAAATAAATTATTTCTAGTATTGAACACATCACAAGCTCTTTCTGACCAGATAAATGCAAACAGAAGTTACTTTCATCAAGACTTAGAAGTCTTCCCCATCCTTCTTGTCTTCTGTTCAGCTGAAAAATTAACTTGAGATTTAAAACTGAAACTTCAATTATTTCCCACCCCAAAATATTCTCCATTTAAAGGTAATGAATGTGAATAACTATGAGATAACACCAAAATGATTCCTCATTTCAAACTACTCAGAGATTAGGATAATGCATATACGATGCCAACTTCACCACTGTTTTCTCCCTCCTCTCCTCTATCTTTCCATAGTTATCTCAGGAAAGTAATGAAACACCCCATCTTGAGTATCAAAGGTTTAACAAAGGAAGCAGAACTTCCTTCACTTCAGAAACAAACTCCAGAAGGCCCATACAAAACACAATCTCCCCCCAAAATGTAGTATTTTTTTAAATGTGTGTTAGTTACTCATAAATTATTGCAAGGAAACAGAACAGAGAGATGTTATTCAAGTTTCTGTCCCGTCTTTCTCAGAAAACTACAGTCCAGTATTTCCATTTCTTATTCTCAGCATTATTTATGTAATGAGATTTATAAACTGCTGAACACTAAAGCCATAGGAAGCACTAACAGGATTACATGATAATAAATAATATTTTAGGTACGGAGTTTGGCGAAGCTTCAGTGTTTATTAAGCATATGAATATTAATAAACATATAGTGCTGCTTCTGTGCAAGTTAGAGTCAACTGCAAATAAGCAAAAAAAAAAACCACAACAAAAAACAAAACAAAACAAAAACAAACGAAACACAAAACCATCCCAATGCCCTGTTAAGGAAACTAAATATTCAGTGAAAAAAAGCTGCATCAAAAACTACTCCAAATACAAGAACTTCTCAACATCTTGCACCCAGTGTCTAGCTGAAGGGCAGCTCCATTAAAAAGTCTGAATTAAACCAACAGTTTATGATCGTTCCCCACAGCAACTGTTCACTCCACTCCCCCTATCTGTCATTCTGGAATCTGAGCTCCTCCTGTCTACTCTGTGCATTTTTTGGTGTTTCTTGGACTGTTCTGGAAAACCCATTCAACTCATAAATAAACCTGACAGAATATAAACTGTGAGAAACACCAAATACAGATGTGATGCAAAAGGCAGGACATCACAAATTAGCAGGAAAATGGTGGAAGGGTAACACCCTCCCCTTTTGGCATTAATAATCCATTACAAGTGGCTCAGCCATTTTTATCTTCACCCCACTTTGAATCACACTGGAGAATTCACTCTGACTGCTATTTGTGCATTTAATTACTTAACTCTGACATTCCCACGACTGTTAACAATTGGAAGCAGTACCGTACTGATGCTGTTGGTCCACATATAAAGCCAAGTACCATTAAGATCAATACATGTAACGAACTGTTAATTTTCATGGCAACAGAGTGTTAAAACAGAGTATGGACACCGAGTTGGCCGAGGTTTCGCAACTTCAGAAAGCAGTTATTGCGTTGTAGCCAGCTTCCTCAGTTCTACCTGCTGCCATTGCAACTGATGCGTATTTGATTGGACTCCATAAACAGATGATCAGCTCCTCCCCTCAATCTGCACCCATCCTGGGCAGAAAAAAAACGGAGTTTTTCTTTGTCCATGCGAAACTACAAAGGTGAGTGGGTGTCGGTAGCTGCACCTCATGGAACGCTCACCACTCCCACACCGTTGAAGCCTGCTGACAACAGAACTGTCAGGAGCATACATGAAAACTGTGGCCTGACAAGAGAACTCAAACTCCTCAAGGTTAGGGCAGGAGCAAGAGACAAAGCTGTCAAGCCAATCACTTTGCCAGCAGTATCCATGGTAGCACACTCCCCTCGATGTCCCTGAAGATAGAAAATTCAAACTGCTCTAGAACTACGTGTTTTGAGTCCCTTGCTCCTGAATACAGCACATCCCTACCAGAAAGGAAAAAAATCATCAAACACTTATTTTCTTAGTTGTTAATCATTCTTGTATAAAAGCAGGCAATTATCTATCTCAAGAAATAGCTATCTCAAAAAGAAGCAACAGCAATGAGGAAGCATAAAGCTTGTGCTTCCCAATAGGATTTATGATACCAAATACAAGACAAGCAGTAATATTAGCATTTTTTTCTTTCATTAGAACATCTACAATACCCTCCTTCCACTCCCTGCTCTCTGATGTTGAGCTCACACTTCAATCTTTTCTCCTTACGAAATTTAATGGTCACTTGGCTTTTAACACCACCTCCCCATTTCCATAAAATACTCAGCAATGTGAGACAACTACTTCTCAGTTTAGTTTGAAATTGAACCAGGGGCCCAATGGTGAACAAGATTCTCAGACAGTACAACTGAGTAACATACATTTCCTCAGGAGAACAACCAAGCTGTGTACCTCAGTTCCAACTCCAAGATGAACCGAGGTGACAGGACATAAGGACAGGACATAGCTGGAATTTGCAAATGTTAGCTGTGAACAGACTAACAGAGGAAGATATATTAAAAAGACCAAAAAAAGCAAGATATGATAATCTGGAAGTAATGGGATCTCTGACCACATTGGCTTATTTGGCTCATGCAGGTCCATATCTCAAGGAAAGGATTTCTTCAAAACAGAACACATTACTGCATACAGAAGGATCATAACAGTACCAAGAACCTCCAAAAGACATGCTGGGGTCTTTTCCCTTGACTTGAAAAAGACTATTACATTATATGTACTCTACAAATAAAAAGAAAGAAACTTGGGGCTTTAAAAGAGCACTCAGACCATCCTCAATGACTTGAGGAGTTGGCAAGCGAAGGTAAGCAGAGACAAATCTTAGAAGGCAAAAGCACCAACTCCAGAGGACCACTTCCAAAGTTTCTTTTAAGCACAAAAACAAATGAGTATGCCATGAAACCTCCAATGCAGCATCAGACAGCTTTGGGCAGCCAGTTCAGAGCAAGGGGCTCGGACCACACAGGTCCACTCCAACTTCAGCCATCCTGTCATCACACTGCTTTTAAAGCAACTGCACCAATTTTCATTTAATAAAAATTCACACACACATCAAACTGCATTTAATGGATTACTTAAGAAGAGCCAAAAATTATAAGACTTCTTCAAAACCCATCTAAAGTTCCAGAATTTTACAAGCAACATGGGAAAGAATACTCATCTCCCTCTACTAAATGAGTAAATTCCCCTTTACTGGTACTAACCCATACACTGTATCAGAAGTTATAGTTTTCTTTACAATACAAAAATGTATTGGGCAGCATATTTATTTTAACAAGGGGTTAAAATAGTACAGAGACTGAAAGACTTAACAGTTAAATGCTTATTACGACCAAGTGGGAGAACTCCTCATTTCTAAAGCTAGCACACTAAGTCAAAAGCAAATGGCACTGCGGCCATTTGAATAACAGAAAAGCATAACAAAATACTCACAAATAAAGCCATTTTTCTAAAGCAGAGCTATCTTCATTCCTCCCACACATTTTCAATCTTAGATGTAATTCTATGAGCTATTCAAATGCTGCAGCTTATTTCCCTGAAGATAATAACGTAACATTTTTTCCCCTATTTTCAATAAAAATGCAAAATCCAAGAGTTACAGCTTTTTCCACCCGTGCAAATCACAATGGCTCACTTGATTTGAAGGAAGACGTAGCCTACGGTAGTCTGTAAGAAAATTGGAACAAAAAGAAAATCCAACCTATAAACAATAAAGGGGGAAATAAAAAATCCCAAGTTGGCGTTCTGCATTGTCCTGCGCATACTGGAGCTGATGGGTATAATGCAGTACAGGAAGGAAGATTCTCTGCTGGAAGAAAAAAAAAAACAACGAGAAATACTCTTAATCTTATTCGCTTTTCCTGACGTTTCTTTCTCTTCATTACAGCATCTACTCTGCCATGACTGTAAAAGCTCCTTCTTGGAACATCGATTTCTCATCTTTATTCTGCAGTTGTAATAGAAGTCTGAAAACCCTGTTCCAGACTATTTTTCTTGCCAAACAAAAAGAACCTTCTTTACTCAGAGTGTCTGAGGCTTAGAGCAGAAGAGAGGGAGCCTCAATGCACAAGCTACTGAGGATGAAGTTAGGAAATACTCATTCGTGGTTTACGCCCTGCTTGAGAATCTACCCAAAAGCACAATTTCCCTAGGGGCAAAAAGAAAAATCAAATGCACTGCAAGAAGCATCTACATATATGCAAGCTCGCATGCACTTTCTGGGGATAGAAATGTGTTGTTCTGGTAAAGCAGTAATATATTCCAGCACAGCATCTGAAAGGCAGATTTTTGCTGATCCTTAATATCTCACTTGTGATGCTGAGACAGAACTAGCCACCTTACAAAACACTACTTGGTTCATTCTACCTGCCTCCTGGAAATTCCGAGAAAGCATCTACATGAGCACAGCTTTTTCACCGAATAGTACCTACAGATAAGACAAAATACACTTCACCAGACATACAGAGCAGTGCTTTGGTATCACAGTATTAAAACAGAGCTTAAAACCCCCAAATCTTTTCCATCTATCCCATTCCTTTCATCTGTCAAATGCAGGCATTTCAATGCAAATTTTAAAGCTGGTACATATGCTTTCTGTAGCATCACACACAGCAAAAGCTGCTTTGAGCTCAATTCTTTGACTCGAACACTGTTTCAAGCGGCACTTTCCTGCACTAACAGGACACATCTCTATAGTCAAATTTCACACATATGTATGAAAATGCTATACATATAAGCAAAACATTTCCAATTGCTCAAACTCACCACCTGGCCTTTGAATGCAGCTAGATACACCATTAGTGTATTAACATGTTTATGCAATACATGTATCCCCACAAATTTAACTCTCTCTTTACATGGTTTGACACTGAACTATTAAACTTTGGCTAAGCCATCATTTTTCCTCACAATTCTCCACTAACAGCAACAGTAGGAATGACCTAGAAGTAAGAAAGATCAATAACCAGTGGCTATCAAAACTTTCCATTCCTGAAATAACTGCAGATGAGGAAACAAAATAAATAAGTAAATAATAACCAATTTTCTGCATATGTAAAATCCTTCACAATTAATATGCTAAGCCTTGGGAACAATCACTCTTAAATCCATCGACACTATATGGTAGTTTCACTCTGCAGACTTCCCGCAGCCCAAGGCGAGGGTTCCCAAAGCACCAGGCTGCTCCAGAAGCACGGAGCTGAGCAGAAGCATCATGCTGCCATGGCTCTAGAAGCTATCTCTTGGGTTCTCCTGCAAACTACCCACTGCACAAAGGATTTCTCTTACTGGCACGCATCAGATGCTGACTGCTCCTCTTACAACCTTTACTGGTGCTGCTACCTGCAAGCAATCTGCACCAGCTCATAACAGCTGTGGCACTTCTGCAATGCATCAGTTGCCTGCGAGGTCGCTGTGGTTATGCTGAAAGTATCATCAGAACTAGTGTGACCAAGCATACTACAACTCTAAACAGACTGTCTCAGCACAGCCTGGTTATACGTCACACTGGTAGTGCACTGTGGCTGCCTTCACAGAGTACCTACCATACTATGTGTGCTTTCTTTTGAAAACACCTCTAACCCAAAGCACACGTGCTGCTGCATGTATTCATAATGGACAACTTTTCAACCCATACTACTTGCTGTTCCTAAAAATTGCCATCATAGCCCGATTTAGTCTTTCTGTGCAGAAAGATACAAATGTAACAAGCACAAAAAAAAAAAAGAAATCAGAACCATTTTGTTTTAAAATACTGATGTAGAACATAGGATTCACATACACTGAATTTAGATGAATACTGGAAGATTTTATGTCAGAAAGTTCTCATTTTACAACAGTAGCCACCAGAGAACAAAATGTGCTCCCCCAATGAGTTTCTAAATCAAGTCCTGCGATGATCATCAAAAGGACTCTGATGAAAGTACATGCCTCACAAACTTTTTAAAATGCTGCCAGACATATGCAGCAGCTGTAGCTGCTTGACCAGTTTAGCCTCACCAAGTTTCAATCTCATAAATTAACAGTATGGAGGTATACACCAGTTTCTCGTACCATTAGGTGCATTAAGTGGATGACGTAAGTGCACTTGACAGACATCAAAACAGCTATGAACCATGTGACTAAAAAATCAGTGCAGTTCTACCTGTACATAAAACCACGCTACTTGCAAGGAGCAAGCTCAGCCCAATCTTGGTCGAGTTACATTTACTGATGCCAGGAACCCAGTCTGAAATATTTTTAACACAACCTTAAGAATCTACAAGAAAAACTTGCATTGCTAATATGTAAGAGGTAAATGATGGCAGTGATGAAAATAACGCATTTGCCACAGCTCTTAAAGACAGGACCACCCTACCCTAAGTGTCAGCATTCTTTGTTATATATATATATATATATGCATCTTATAACTTCCTCAAATGCCAGGATTACTAATAACCACTGATTTTCTCACTGCAAAGATACTTATTAAGAAAACTATGCTGCAAAAATCTAATTATATTTGTTTACAGGACTGTTTGGGCTTTAACGGTATAATAAATGTATTAATAAACGGTAAGGAGCAGGCAGAGATATTGTAGTAAAAATAATTCTAGCTGTCAATGCTTTAGGATAATTTAGTAGTCCTCTGAGAAAATACAACTGAAAAGATCATGCCCTTTGTCCAAGGCACAGCATTCAACTACACTGCCTAACACCAACTTCATTTGTCAGAAAGGCAGAAAGCTTCTGCAGACTGGCAGCTCCATAGATGAATAAGACCCAGTACCTCCAGGGTGAGCCCAGCAGTGACCTGGCCCGCTCTGCCTGCTGAAAGGCAAATCAGCACGTGTATATCCATAGTAGCCATAGGATGTAATTAAGGAAAGTGAAAGGAGATGAGTGACAGTGGGAAAGTTTATAAGACTTGTGGTGGAAATAAAACTCATGGGGCTGGATGTTGGGAGGAACAACAGCAATGATGCTGACACGTGGTGGTGTGCTGAAGGGACTCGAGTTTGAATTGGGGCAATGGCGGTGGAAACGCCGAGTTACACCTGAGGAACATCTCTTCGACACGGCAAAGACAAGAGCATGCACATTGCTGCAGCACTGCCTTTTTATCGAGGAACAGTTTGATGGCTACGATGATCTTTTAAGAGAAAAGGAAAAAAAAACACACCGTGTTTTTGTGCGATATTTACGTATTAACCAACCTAAGCCAAAGCACCCCAGCACCAACCCTGATCGGCTGCCCGCTCCTTCTACTTACAACCACTATTTCGAACGCTGCGGCCGGCACCGTGTGACTGACCTACTTTCGCTCGCCCACCGACGCACACACACCGGCCCGCAGCGCGGGAGCTGCCCCAAGGAGGACCGCGGCTGGGAGCCCTCAGCGGCCGCCCCAGGCCCCGCAAGGCTCTCCCGCGGAGGGCGGACCGACGAGGGGTTAAAGCGGGAGGCCCGAGGGCGGCTACACCTACCTCCGGGCGGCAGCGGTGCCGGGGCCGCGGCTCCTCCCGTCGAGCCGGCAGAAAGGGAACTCGCGCGGAGCATAAAGCCAGAGGCGGCGGGCCGCGCCTGGGGGCCGAGCAGAGGGGCAGCGGCCGAGGCACGACCGAGAGGAGGAGGAGACGGAGGAAGGGGGGACCCTGGACTTCCTCCTCCCCGCCGCCCGCGGTCGGGGGAGCCGCCCCCCGCCGCGCCGCCCGCGCACCGTCGCTCCCAGCCCGGCCCAGCAGGGCCCGGCCTCGCCCCCGGGGTCCCGCCCGCCCGGCCGCCCCCCGCCGCGTTACCTTCGGCGCTGCCCAGAGAGGCCGCCGGCGCCATGTTCCCCCTCCGCGGGCGCCCCGCACTGCCCGTCACTTCCGCCACCACCTGCGGGCCCGGGCCGGCGGCCGGCGGCGGGAGGCCGCGCCCCGAGCGGCAGAGGCTGCGCCGCCTTCGCCCGGCCCGGTCCCGCGCGTTCATCCCCGCCCGGCGGCGTTCCCATACCAGCCAGGCATCGGCCGGGCCGCATCCGTCGGCCGCGGGGATCCCGGGCGGATGATCCCCCGGAGAGGGAAAGGCTCTCACCGGGGACCGGGAGCGGTCGCCGCTGGGGATCGGGAATGCGGTTCCAAGGAGCGTCATCTGCTTGGCTCGTCCGCAGGCGACTGCAGGGCTGGCCGCGTCGTCTCGTCCTCCCGCTCGCTGCGGCCCCTTTCAGCTCCCGCACCGCAGTTCCCACTCGCCTCGGGCGGCAGCGCGGCGGGAACAGAAGTCGTACGGAAACCCGCTCCGAGCGGCAGCGGCCCCTGTCAGGAGCCGGCTGAACTCCTCCCCCTCGCACCTGGCAGCGACGGGCGCTGCAGCTGACCCCGGCCGCCTCCTCGTCACACGCAGCCCTGCCAGCCGCTGTGGGAACCAGGTCACAGAGCCAGGCGGGTCAGGGCCGCCGGCTACGGCTGCTCGGCACAGCCGCGAGCAACGAACTGCACGCAGCTCCCGGCCCTGAGCGGAGCTCTGCCTTAGCCCAAGCTTCCCCTCCTTGCTTTGTGTAGCTTGTCGCTGGCTGGCAAAAGGTAAAGAGGTAAAACAATCCAACAACAACCTCCTCATATACTTCATGTACATCACAGAATGTCCTGACACTATACAAAACTACTGTCCTTTGGGCTGTCCCTGCCTTCTTCAAACTATTGACAGCCTGCTACGTATCTCCTATGTCACTCACTGCTTTAAATAACAGGCTGTGCACTGCCATCCTCTCTCCATTTATTGCTGTTCCCATCCCCTTCGCTGTCTATTTTCAGTTGCTCATTACCACCCCCACCCCATTCTTGGTTTCTAAAACAACAGCACAATTCCTCTATGACTGCCACCCCCAATCTGAATGTCTATCCCACCTCTTACTGCTTCACACAATGAACCTGCTGTTGCATGCACAGCTTCACAAAAAACTACCCACTGCTATTCCCACTCTGTTAACTGACTTCCCACGGCTCCCACACAGCCTATTTACTCCACACCACAAACAGCCCGCTCCCATTCACTGACTCCTCCATACTGGTGACCTGACCTCTCTCTGCTCAGTCAGATTCATACCATTCCACCTCCCATGCTTAACTCATACAGTAAATTTGCCCCATTTCCCCAGTTGCTGTTTCAAAACCTGTTACTCGTGCAACCAAGATGATATAACCAACCATTATCAAAGCAGCTACCGTTCCTGTCTAAGTCCCAAAGGAAAGACATGGAATCAGATGATCTTTCAAATGAGTTGGAAGGGCCCTTTAAAGGACATCTGGTCCAACTCCCCTGCAATGAACAGGGACACCTACAGCTACATCAATTGCTCAGAGCCCCATCCAGCCTCACCTTCACTGTTCCCAGGGATGGGATATCCACCAGCTCTCTGGGCTGGGCAATTTGTTTCAGTGCTTCACTACCCCTATCATAAAAAGGTTTTTTCTTATACCCAACCTAATCTCCCTTTATAGTTTAAAACCATTTTCCTTTTTCCTATAACAACAGACCCTGCAAAACAGTCTGTCCAAAATGCTCTCCTTTACACACTGGGTCTATCTTCTGCCATACCAAGCACACACGGACGTCTTGTGATTTGGCAAAGAGAACCTAGAGCAGAAAATCTATTTTTCATGTACAGAATCAACACAACAAAACATCATACATCCCTCTGCACTCTGCAGATTTTCAACCTGCGTAGGTCAATAAGGGTAAGAAGACTGGCAGGGCTGTTTTGGCTTTACCTGACTGTCATTTTGCTGTTTGCAGTTTGTGGTAAGCTGAGGCGTAAGGTGATCTTCAGGTCTCTTCAATACACTGCCACAAAAGCGGATTCAAACCTACCCCCAAAAAAACACCAAAAAACACCAAATAAACAAAAACATCCATCAGCTGTGACATACTTATTCCCAGCATTTAAGAGCACAAAAAAAGTAACTCTTCCACACTGAAAATTTACCTGTACTGAAAAACTCAAACTTAATAATGATTCAATCTCCCAACTAAAACTACGGCGCTGTTAAACTTAGGCCCTAGACAGTAACCAGTCTTCAGCTTTGCATTTTTCTTCGTGCTACAATTATCCAGTACAGTAAATCAAAATATTAAGATAGAATATGTAAAGCAGACAATTTTATTGTTCAAATAGAAATGATAGTGTATTTCTTCAGATTTCTGACGGAATTCTTGGGAAGGAGTAAATCATTTCTACAGGCTGCTGCAAATGTAACAACTGTTTCTATAATCCCATACTGCACTGCATTATTGCATAATTACAGCAAGTAAGTACCTACAGAATCCAGTATTTTCAGCTCATTTTCATCAGTGATCATACATGCCTCATGCTGAAGCAACCACATTCAAGTATTGCATCATATTCTCCATGCTTGCTTTGTATGTCTTGGTTGTAAGCATATATGGTTTTCTCAGAAGCAAAATATTTTATATAAAAATTGTATAACATCACGTAGTCCAACAGAAGATTAGAAATGAAAACTTATTTTCAAGACCAATGTGCAAAATTAATTGGTAGGAAGACGAAATATATTTTGTTATTAGCAACATCATTACTGTATTGTTTCTTACCACATTCTTGTATTCTTTCCTTCGAAACAAGAATGCTGGCAATGCATTTGCTATTGTATATCAGGAAATACTATCAGGAAAGAATGGAAATGGCATTTGTGGAAGTGGGAAGTGACATATCTTGTTAAACCAGGCATACTGGTTTGGCACACATTTCCATCATCGCGTTCCAATCATATTGCTGGGTGCCTGGGAATTATTGCCTTGACATAAGCAGTCAGGCAAAATCTGGAAAGCTCCACACTTTCTAGTGGGCAAAAACACTGCTGATGAATATGAATGCACGTGACACAGATGGTTACTTGTATTGAAAACAGTTGCTCTGATCATAGGGGAAATTTTGTTAGCAACAATGTCTTCTAGGCCTGTAAGGTGTTTCCACAGAGGAGGAATCAGTTCAGTTCCCCACAGGGGAGAGTTGTAAACTTGGCTCTTAGTCTCTAAACTGGCTGTCATCAGTGGATCAGAGATTTTACTTCATTTTTAAGGAAAAACCTCACCTGACTCTTAAAACAACAGGTGCTAGCTGTCTGGAATCAAAGACTGAAGCTGCTTGTGTCTTCGGGCTGTATACAGCACTCAGCCTACAGAGCACACACTAACATGCCAACTGAAATTAACTTTCCACAAACTACATGGCCAACCA